TTTTGCGAGCTCACTTGGGTTGTGTGGATGTGGTGCTAACGGGTGATGTAGGCCATGTGTGATATTGCGGCGGACCGGGCAAGGAAGCTGCAGAAGGCGGCCGATGAGGCGGAGAAGAGTGAGAGTTAGGGTTGATGCTGGCTGGTTCATTTGGCCGTGTCTCTTCCAGAACAGGTCCAAGATTCCAGGACGACTGCCGACTCGTGTATGCCTGTGTTCATCTTGGTCAGCATGAACAGTACACTTGATCCACGAATCCAGAGAACTATACGGGCGTCACAGTGGGTATAATTGCATTACAGTTCGGGTATTCCTTAATTATGATCCGCATTACAATTCGAGGTAAACTCATTATATCGGTAATTAGTTAACACTGACTTATATCCCCCATTAATCATCCTCCTTTACTCACCCCATCCTTAGGCCCCCTTACTCGCTAAGCCTGCGACTCCCCCTGCGCATACCTCCAAACATCCCTCTCCCCCCTCATCATCCCCAACAAACACCTCTCCCAATATCCCACCAACGGCTCCTCCGGCAGCGCCAACACCTGCGGCACCTGCTCCGCCCCGGTCCCCTTGACCTCCCCATCCCACACCCACTTCCACTTATGATCCCCCTCCTGCACCGGGTACATCGCTTCCACGGGAAACTCTGTATGCTCCGGGCTGTCCCTGTCCACTCTAACCTCCCTCGGTCCGTGCTCCAACAACCCCTTTACTCTGACCTCCTCTTCCTCAGGCAAAACACTCCCCCTCTCCAACCTCCACCGTCCCCCTTTCCCTCCTTTCGCCCCATTCTTGTTGTTGCTATTATCCCCAAAACCCCCCAACCCCTCCCCCCAAACCCCCCGTTCATCAACCCCCAACCCGCCACATCTCACCCGCACCCTAACACAAGCATGCACCCGTTCTGCAGTACCAACTAACGGCTCAGCCGTATCCTGATTCGTGGTTTCATCTACGCGTAATGCCAGCCCGGGTCGGCGGATGGTGCGCCCTGCGAGGGTGGTCAGGAGGGAGGTGGGAGACCGTAAAGTGCCGAGGGCGTAGGGGCGGGCGAGGGATAAGGGGGCTGGGTGGGGAGGGTGGAGGTGGAGGAGGTGGTGATGAGGATGGGAATGAGATGGAGGGTGGTGGGAGGAGTGGTGCGGGGAGAAACAGGTTTTGGGGTGGGCGTGGGAGGTGCGGAGGGTGCATTCTGAGGTGTCGCGGGTGGAGGTGGAGTTGGCGGGGTAGATATCGGGGTTTGCCCAGGGGAGGGGGCCGTTAGCTGGCGGAGTCGGGGAAGGTGGTGATGCGGAAGTGGTGGAGGTCACTGCCTTGGGTCCGCGGATGAGTTTGGTGAGGGAGCGTTTGAGAGCGTTGAACGGGGCGCGCGGGAGGGCCGGGATGAAGGAGGATTTGCCGGTGGTGCCGCCGCCGCCGGCGACGTAGGGGAAGGGGTGGGCGGCGGAGAAGCAGAGGGATTCGTGGAAGATGGTGGTGAGGCGGCGGTAGTTGAACTCGATGCCCAGGGTCGAGAGTTGGTCGCACATCCCTGTTTTCTTCAGTAAGTACTACATATTACTTTTCACGAGAGCTGAGCAAGGGATTGGGGATAAAAGAACGTACAGGCCAGAGTGATATCGGCCATCTGCTGGTCGTGCCAACCACCCCCGACATTCCCGTGGTTCCCCGGAAACCAGACCTGCTTCAGGTTGGTCGGGCTGCCGGGCAGCTTCTCCCACAGCGACGGCCGGAAGGCATACCGCGGCTCGTCGAGGGCCAGCGCCTGGAACGCGTTCTCCACCTTGTCGGAGATTTGCGTGTTGGTGAATGCCCATGTAAAGTATTGTTAGTATGCGTCGTGTCATAACAGAGAGTAAATAGGGCACTTATTGATCTGCTGAGCCGCGGACACCAATGACTGGGGCCGGCGGAATGCCCAGTGTGCCGACGGTGTCCCAGACGGCGATGCCTTTGATGCGGATCTCGGTTAGCCCGTCGTGGTATGTGTCACGGGTGTACTTGAGCTGTTGTTTGTCAGTCCCGTCTTTTTTCTTTTTTCTTTTTTTTTTTCTTTTTTTTCGATACTTACTTTTCGCAGCCCCGCCTTATACGCCTTCATCCGCCTACCCTCCCACTCAATCTTGGCCTGCCCATGCTCCCCCCCATACTTGGGCAGCCCCGGCACCAGAAACTGCTCAACATTCCGCCCCGACTTGCCCATGCTGTGGTAATCGTCAAAGATGTCATAGAAATGATCTAGCCCCTGGGGCGTCAGCAGGCCGATCGAGGCGATCATGTCGGCGACGGACCGGGCGGTGAAGGCGCCGCGCGAGAAGCCGATCAGGATGATCTCGTCGCCGTCTACGTAGTTGGCGCAGATGAAGTTGTACACCTCGCGGATGTCCTGTTGCGCTTAGTACTTGGCTTCGTTATCGTCCGACTGAGTAAAACGGGAACACACCCTGTCTAGGCCCATGCCAAAGGCACCACCCGTGAACCGGTCAATGGCATTCGCCGTGCCGACGCCGGGAAAGTAGTTGATGACCTGGTGCGTGCCATCTCTGCAGGTGCGCCGGAACACGCGCGAGATGCGCGTTACATTCGATGGGGGTTCGCTCCTGTTCGTGTTAGTCCAGATCCTAAAAAAGAGAAAAGAAAAAAGAAAAAGAAGAGAAACTACAAACATACCCCTCGGAACCCAACGAGTCCATCCATGTCCCGTCGCAGCAGAGAATTAGTCGTTTCGGGAGCCCATGGTGGGTGATGGGCTGGGGATTCTGCGAGTCCAACGGTGTGGCCATGGTGTCGTGTCTCAACAGCTTTGCTTGGCAGCTTTCTTCGAGAAGTGTCAACCCCGAAACAAGAAACAAGAACGCAAAGAGAATACCTTTCGCGAGGACAACCACCTTTAAACCCTCACCTCAACACCCTGTTTCATTCCCAACCCCCGTTACCTAACCCCTCGCAAGCCACAAGACCGCCATTCTGCACGTCTTCACAGAGTTTCGGCCCCATCCGTCGTCTCTCCGACTCTCCCATCAGCAGGGGTCAGCCAGTCCCATCCAACCACTGCCCAGTCAACCTCCCAGCTGACGGTGGAAATACCGAGTCCAGCTTACACAAGCCAGCCAAAGCCAGCCAAAGAACTCCCATTCCGGATGCAGGCTGCCGGTTCGCTGCGGGCTCTCAGTTCCCGAGTAGGGCTGATGGAAAATGCATCCCAAAATGAGAATGCATACCCCGAAACGCTAACCACGCACCGAACCCAAAACCGCATCTTCAGCTCTGCACAAGCATCACCCACCATTCCCAAAACATCCCCCCCCCTCGCGGGAATCACACTCCCCATTTCAACTCGGCCCTCCCCCCGGGATTTCAGACTTCCAGAAAAAATCCCCATCCAAAGATCCCCCACCGTGGCTTGTCCCCGGCGAGCTGTTTGGGTGCGCTGCGTCCGTAGTGACTGCAGTCATCGCACAGAAGATGCATCTTTGGTGCACGGAACATGCACGCTTTGGAGCACCAAATGGCCCAAATGAACCAAAATGCCCAAAAACGCCGAAAGTGGAGCGTCAAGCTGGACTCGGACCCCACTGCATGGGACAAAATCTGGCCAATGAGAGAGAGGGGATGGGCAGTGGAAGGTTGGATCCCGATGCAGGGATCGACGCGGATGGCGTTCGGGGGGAGTCTTGGCCAGTTCTTGGCCGTGAGGACGGGCATGTGGTTTGGGAGGGGGTGGTGAGTGGATGGGATGGGTTTTACACTACGAAGTACGGGTTTTACGAGGGTCGAGGGTCGGGTTTTGGGTGGTGTTTTTCTTTTCTTTTTTTTTCATTGGGGGTTTCTTCTTGGACTTTTTTTGGAGGGTCTGAGTGAGGTCTGAGTTGGATCTGGGTTGGATGATTGGATCTCATGGATCGGTATGTTACGTGAGACAAGACAATCGTCCCTAGGTACAGCATGCGGTACCCCTTTATATTATCCGTACTGTGATATTATCTGGATCGAAGTGACTGGATTTGGTCTGTAAAACCTATAAACCTATCATTAGACTTTGCTTTCCTCTCAGGCTTGTAAGTAAGGTATGGTGGATACATCAATTCCCGTGAGCGTGTGAAAAGGATATCTCATATGTCCGGAGCCGATATTCACGTGGCCATGTCCCGTGGTGGTTTATTGTTCCCCTTGGTCACGGTTGCGCGTAGTTGACGCGAGGGGGCGTGAAGCGACAGCATCCGCGTCCCGCTCCCTCAGCTGATCGGCGAAGGGAAAACCTTCTGGTAGCAAACGAAGATCTCAGCACTGATTCCCGCAGAAGATTCCGGCGCTAACTTCCGGGATGTAGTTTTGGTATCGTTTTGATGTCCGGAAGGGACTACGCCGCGATGACCGAGCGAGTTCAAATCTGTATCGAGGTAGTCAGGGAAGATCTTGATGGCTGCCAATTCCTGGGCTTACTTCACACCGATTGAGGACGTCTTTGAGGCTACTCGCATTGCGTGGGGGGACATGATTGGACTGACCCAAGGGCTGCCAATGTTGGGGTCTTGGATCTGGATGGTGTTTTTTTTGGTTGATGTGTTGATTATCATCGATGATCGTAAATTAGACTTTTAACACCCTAAACCCGCTGTCTCGTGAAGAGATGTTGTGAAATACAAGACACCCTAGGCAAGGCGGCATTCAACAAAGCCCTATACAAGGTCATACAAATGGCATCACGACAGAGCGCTGCCCAGAAAGCAAGGCTCGAGCAGGAGCGTAAAGCTTTCTATACCGACGCTATGAACATTAGCAATGCCAGCGCTGCCGTGTCTGCGGGAATGAGTAAATTCGTTTCTGAGCTTGGTTCCTCGGATAGCACCGATGTACCGAAGGCATGGGTTATGGAGCTCATGGGTGGACTGGCAAATGATATGGCGAAGCTGTCCATAGCGACGAAGAACGTGGTAGCCTTCGAGAAATACGTTATCAACAGCACATCTACATCGGGAACCTCGAAACCACCTAACACTAGTAACTCTGTGGAGTCTGGGCGTTATATCGAAGTTCCTTCCCTGCCTCATGTGGAAACCCCTCGAAGGGAGCCCCTTTCTGCGGCAGAGATAAGAAGGCGCAGAGGCGCGGCTGCGTCACCGGCTCCTAGCGCGGGTATCTCATCAGGCCCTGTCTAACTCTCAGGGCTCAAGTAGCACGACCGCCTTCCTTGTTCATAATCCGCCTGACAAGCCACGCTTTTACATATATCTTTCAATCTTGACCACTCATCGGGCCTTGTCAATATGAAACTGAGATATTTTCTAATGGCCGTTGACCCAAATGACCCTCCCAGCCATCGCCGACGGCCGAGTTCGAGCTACTTCCTATAGCGGACCTATTGCGAACAAACTATCCAGCGTGACCCAGAACCCCGACGCGAAGACCAAGCCGCCCGCCTCCTCCCCGTGTAATAGGGCCGCCTCGCCAGATCTGCCAGGCGCGCACAGGGGCCGGCGCCCAGTATCCCCCTCTTGCGGGCTTGGGTTACGCAGAAAGAGGAGTCGGAACCGAAGTCTGGAACTTGAGTACCAATGGGTCCCTATTGGCGGGCCGCTTGCCTGTCGGCCTGGTTCGCCTCGGCCCCGTTCGTTCCAAGATGGCGATGGCACCGGTGCCTACAGCGGTATCTCACTGTCCTTCCGGCCTTGTTGGCGAAGAAAGGGTCTGAAAGGGAGGGAGGGCCTGGTTTCGCCATCTCAGGCTGGCCCGCGGCTGGGTGCGAGAAGGGTGGCTGGGGGCGTCTAGGCGGGGTTCCCGGAGACAGCTTTTGCTGCAGAAAATGAAGACCCTTTTATACTGTGACAGGCTCTCGCCGGAGGCATGTTGGGAAAGGCCGCTGAGTCAATGAATCCTGAGACCACACATCGGTTTGCATCTCTATGAAGGCGCTCGTGTAGTGACTTCTGCTCTGTTGGCAAACCAAGAACCGTACAACAGTATGGTGGGCATTATACCACTATGCCCAGGGAACTTGCGTCTTAGTTCGTCGATCGTAGACTTAGCTGGAGCTTTATCGGCTGTAGGCCGTGGAGGAGGAGCGGGACCTACCATTCCCCGGCCTTAGAGGATACAATTGGGGCTAGTACAATCAACCAGCCAGGCAATGCAATTACACTCGCCGTCGTCTTGGCCCTCTCAGGGCGGCTGATAGCCCGATATTTTTCTTCTCTTTCTTCGCTCCCAAGTAAAGCAAGTTTGGCGTTGGACGAGAACGGACAGGAGATGCTACGTAGTCAGGTTGTCGGCTTCCCTTGAGAGTTCGTGTAGCCTTTGCGCTGATATGAAGCGGAGTAATGAAGGAAGCAGGCAACTTGGTGACCCAAAAACAAGCCAGTTCTCGATTGTCGCCAGGGATAAATGTCGACTGTAGCAGCAGGTGGTTAGGTAATTACCGTTTTATACTGTGATAGTGATGAACAGGCGAGCTGGCATCTTGCCCCTGACAGAACCAGTACTCGATTACATCACGGAGGTGGAAACACGCCACGCCGTCTTTGAGGAGTTCCGAGCGATTTGCCGCGAGCAGTATGACGAACCGAACACGGCAGTATTCGCCGTATGGCCGCTCCCATCACAGAAATTCGCACTTGTCTGGACGGTTACAAACCCGAGAATTCCCTGGTTAGAGCCAGTCCTTGGGCAGTTCGCATTCTAACAAACTCAGTAACAGCCATCGGAGGCTGTTCAGTGCTCTTCCCCTGCTCGGATCTCCCTACCGTCTCTCAGCCTGTCTAGCTTCTTCTCCGCCGTGTTTTGAGAGCCATGCGTAATTACAGATACCTAGATAGGGGTACACGACTCTGCTGGTTGCCACGAGCTGGCTATGTTGGCCGGGACACACTGTCTGTGCGAGGCAAAACAACAACCTCGCTGCGGATGGCAACGGAGTGAGGTAGGAGCTCCTCTATCAACAACTAAACAACCACCAACTCACGGGTAACACAGAGTGACTGTGTTCAAAGCTTCATGCCAGCGCGGAGTCTGTCCCAGAGTACTATTTAACCGCCCTATCGCCCCCCCTCAACCCTCCCGTTCTTCTTCTTCAAACGTCCCCAAACAAACTCAACATCCGGGTGACCACCATACCTTAAGCATCAACATCAAGCATCAACATGTCAACCACCCGCGATTCCCCCATCATGCCTTCGGGCCCACCCATTCTCTCAACCTCATCGTTCACAGAACTTTGGGAGCTTGCCGATGAGGACGTCGGGTTCCTTTTCGACATCTTCACCGACCAGTCCTCCTCCGACGACGAGGGCGCAGACACCCTCATCGGAATCGAGGACAACACCCCCGTTTTCGACCCCCACCTGTTCTCCATCTCAGAACTCTGGGAGCACGCGCAAAAGGATACCGGCTCTCTCCTAGACATCTTCCACAGCCACTCAGCCAGTTACTCCCCATCCTCCAACGGCGCAGCTACCCCCGCCGTGAGCGAGAGCAACTTCAGCATTTTCGCCCCTGCGGCCCCGGACCTGGACGCACCCATGTTCTCACCCGGGGCAGAACGCTTCCTGCGCGCCGAAGACGATGTCCGTTTTCTTCTTCACATGTTTCCCGACCTGCGTTCTTCCTCCTCTTCCTCCAGCGAGGGTGTGGACACTCGCGCTTTGAGCGAGAACGAGGAGTACATTTCCGACAATACCGATGTGAACAGCCCGTCTAACTCCAACAACGGTATCGAGGACAAGGTAGGACCCAAACCCAAACCCGACCCCGAAGACGAAGAGTGTATCTCCGCTAACCCCGATGACCCCAAGGTCCCCAACAAGCGCGACGCCCACTCCAACAACCCTGACGACCGCAACAACTCCACCGAGGCCATCAACTCCACCAACCCCAACAATGCCGCCGACGACCCCAACGAACCGCTCTACATAATCCACAACTGGCTCACCCCCCTCGCCTGCCAGCGCCGCAAAGACCTCCAACGCTGGCGTGAACAAGTCGGCCGTGACGTCGGACCTCCCCGCGTTGATATCATTGACATTGATGCCCAAAGCTACATCTACTACATGCCCCTCGAGACCGAGACTGAGACTGAGACCGAGATTGAGACCGAGACTGGTCTAGAGATTGGTTTGGAGATCCCGCCCTCGTTGTGCTCGACCTCGACCTCGTCGTCGGGATCGCCGGAGGGTTCGTTGCGTGCTGGTTTGGATGTTGAGGAGGGTTTTGGATGGGAGTGGGAGGGTGATGATGAGGAGGAAGATAGTGATGAGGAGGGTAGTGAGGCAGACTATGGTAACTATGGTGGTGGAGTTGTGTCTGCTCTATCGGGCATGGGTGATGACAACAACACTTTTGTTGCTATCAACCCGGGACAGACCGGAACGGCCGAGAACGGGGACAAGATCGCTGCGTCGATGCAGGTGCTGCGGTCGTGGGGCCTGCCCTGTCTGATGGGATGGGCTGTGGCTAAGGTCGTGAAGGAGACTACGGAGCATAAGCATATAGAGGTGTAGGGAGTTTGTTGATTACCGAGATTACTTGGGAGTTATTCGGCAGCATCGCATTGTATTCTTTCTGGCCCCTGGGAATGGGGATTGGGGGTTATGGGTTGACGTTATTTGCTTTTTTACATAGGTACATAGATACACACCCACTGTCTCGACTACTCTACCTACAAACTTCCCTCGGAACCCCCAGCCCCTTTTGTTCTTCCTCTACCTGCTCTATGCAGGTAACACATCATTCCACCCGAACTGCTCCACCGCACTCGGGACACTCTCCTTCGGTTTTGACAGTCACCACTCTCCAGCAGCATGAAGGTGCAAGATATAAGTAGTACGGGTCATGACATCCACCAAACTGACTTCTCACTTCTCAGGCCCCGAGACAGAAAGCGTAGAGAAACTTGTTCCTAAGACAAAAAGGAGATAATGTTTCTGGTTCTACATACAGTAAAATAATACAACATTCGAAACCCTAGCTCTCAGCTTAACTAATCATGCTCCAGCGGGGTGAAAAGTTGCCAGTTACGAACAGGTAAGCTTTGAAACCGCCAGGTTTTAGGGAAATGGCCCTGACAGAATCGAACTTGTAGGCTTCGGTTATTCTTTTGCTGTACTCCCAGTAAGAAATGACAACGAAGAGGATGGTGAACACGATGGGTATAAATGATCCTGGGCTACAAAGATTTTATGGTTTGGTGGGCATCGATTTCACCATTTACGTTTATATGTGGCACTATTTTTAAGCTGGATCTCGAGTTCGTTTGTATGGTTGGACTCGACGAAGGAGATGTACTGAAGTGTCCTGGACATGGAGGCTAGCCATGAACAGCGATCAGAATGCTTCAATATTCCGAACAATGAGGTTGTGCCTGGTGGCCTGGTTTTCGATTGACTGGCCCAGCAGCCATCGTGTACAGAATTATGCGAGACGATCGGAGCGTTATCAAGACCGGTACAATGGATCCGGTGAGATAGACAAATCACACAGGGCAATCCACCGGGTTCCAACATCAAGCATGTTTATTCGTCAAGCTCTATCATCTATCTCTTACCCTGACGCCATGTCCAGCCCACTGAATGCCATTATATCCTCCACCCCATATATCCAACCGCCAACTCCGACCTCCGTCTATCACCAGCACACACCACACCAACTTCCCACATACCTCCCCACCACCGACCGTCTTTTCTCTCTTTATACCCCACCCCCTTAAGCCAACACAGCAGCAACACCAGCGACCAACGCAACAACCCCACCAACCATCCCAGTCGGCAGCGCAGCACCACCAGTCGACGAGCTGCTAGCCCCCGCCGTGCCCGAGGGCTTAGTAGCAGCAGTACCAGTACCAGTACCAGTAGCAGAAGAAGTCGACAGCGTAGTAGCAGTACCCGTGAGAGTCGTCACATCCCCCGTCGCAGTACCCGTAGCATGGCCGGTGTGACTAGACTGCGTAGCCGAGAGCGTAGCAGCCGAGGTCTTGATACCACCCGAGCTAGACGAAGCCGACGAAGAATCCGAAGAAGCCTTAACGCGAAACTGGGGGCTTTGGGCGAGGATACCCGTGTTCTGCTCCTCCACACTAACAAAATTGAACTGGTACCCCGAATCAGCGGGGACGTCAGCGACCGAGACAGTAATATGCCCAGCGGACAGATCAACCTCGCCGAGGTCCTTGGTGAAAGGGGTGTGGCCGCCGACTTGGTTAACGAGGAGCAGGTGGGCGGAGGACGGGTCGGTGTTGACGGTGGACCACTGGATGGTGATGCCCTTGGAGGGGTCGACGACGGAGTTTTTGGTGGGGGAGGTGATTTGGATGGCGAGGAGGGGGGTGGCTAGGGCCAGGAGGGCGGCGAAGGAGGCGTGCATTTTCGGTGGGTTTTTGGTAGTTTTTTTCTTGTTGTTGTGGTGGTGATGATAATAGGGGGTTCGAGGTGGGTGATAAGGGCGTCGAGGTGTATAAATTCGTTCGAAGCGAAGCGTTCGATGTAGCGAGCGTGGTGTGTCGAGAACGACTGAGCGAGTGACAGAAGTGAACGTGTGGAAAGGTAAAACGGACAAGAAAAAGGAGTTTTCAAGAAGATATGGCGCGAAAAGTGCAATGCTTTTTCTTATAACACAAGATGGGGGTCCAGACCACCCACCCGATACGAGATCGATACAAGCAGTCCCGGGACTCCGGTATCTAGCATGACCGCCGGCCAACCACATCACAAAGAAAAGTCCAGACCCTCTCCACCATCGAATTTTCAAGCGGCCTCGTCCTGGAGCCACGCGCTCGCATTGTCTAACTTGGCCATTGCACGACAACAAGCCTCGGACAACAGCAGCCAAGCCAGGGTATCGTGCATGTAGGTACACGAAAGTGATGCTTTTGGCTCCCTAACATTCAGCTCTACTGGGAATCCTTCGACATGCAGACTGACACTTTTCTGGCATGGAAATCTGTCAATTCAGGGCCGTCAAAGGCTGGTGGGCGGGTGGCGCACGAGTCAAGATAGCTGAAAGTGGAAGTGCGAAAAGACCGACCTCCGTCGTATCCGTCCCTGTCTCGCATGGGGCATGCTTGTTATCTTGCGGGCCGAACTAGGAAACTGCTCTTTTTTTAACCCGTATCACCAGACCTCCACCTCGTGATGGAAGGCGAGCCGCCATTCTCAATTGTCGGGGACATATCACGTCGTCGGTCCCATGTGTTTGGCTCGACGCGGTCCGTTGGCTGCACCAATTCTACTCGCCCACGGCATCAAAGCGCGGACGCGGGACGCGCGACCGGAGAGTGTCGCAGCAACTGACCCCCACTTATGGCGACACTGATAAGCCAGGGTGAGGACGGGTCATCAACGACGTGGTCCCCCACGCTGAAATGACACCGTTCAGCAGAGAGAACCAAAGTCGAGGGAACCAAAGTCGAATTGATGAAAGGGAGCCGAAAGCCTGCAATTGCTGGACCCGGCAACAAACTTGGTTGCACTGGTTTCAGACTGGGTTTTCCCCCAGCTTTGATTCGCAATTGGGTCTACTGTGTATCTAGTCTATGACTTGTTAGTGATCAAGCCCGCTTTCTGCCCCGACAGCAATCATCAAACGGTCCGGTTTCCTGCCTCTCGAGCAAGTGTGGCGCTGAGTCTTAGAGGCTGAGGAACAATGAGCCGGCGATCCTGTCTTGGGCTTGAGTTGTCGACCGGTGAATGTTGAACGGAGGACAGTCCGGCGATGTAAGACAAGTGATTGACGATCGTGACACTGTCTCATCGCCGCCAAGATGGTGTTGTTCATCCGCACCCGATTCCTCATAGCGCGGGTCTTCCCACAGGTACATGTATGGAGTATTTCACGCTTTTGTTGTTGCTTCCTCGATGATGTCCTTCCTGTCTGACTCGGAGAAGGCCGACGACCAATTTGGTCAACCACGGGACAGAGGTATCATCGCTCATCCGCCAAACGAATTACTTCCCCCTCTTCGGCGTTTCTCTCTCGGCTGCCGGCAGCAAGACGCCCCACAGAACCATGCAAAGAAGGGCAAAATACGGCGGAACCGGCGAAACGGGTTGCATTGTACCAGAGTCCCCAGACCACGAAGGGCAAATCGGGATAATTGCTCAACAAAGGAAAACGCCAACACGATCGGGAGGATCCGAGAAGAATGGGGCCGTGAGAGTAACCCTGGGTCGCCGGGCCCGGTCGAGTCAACGGGCTGCTTCATCCGAATGGCTGGAAACCTGGAGGCTTGGGGGCCGGCGCTGAAAATCGACGCCGAAAGGCTTGGTGGCCACACGCCCACGCCATGGGAAGAGAATTCCCCGAACAATGTCGCAGTCTCGCAGGAGCAGCGAGGGGGGGAAAGCCCATGCAGGTCAGTCATGCACGGCGCAATTGCATCCGAATGGTAACAAACATCAATGACGGATGGCTTTCCCAGTTCCTCGGTGCAACAGGCCAAGACAATGAGAAGAGGAAAAGGGGAAGCAGGCTGCGGCAAAAGCCACCAGCGCCCATCGGTGAATGGGGCAAGGCCGAAAGGGGAAATTCAATGGAAGGTTAATTGAAGAGAAATGGAAGGGGCAGCCGAGTGGGCAGAAGGCAAAAATCCAAACTGTGTGCATGCGCTCGGGCAGTGTGGGGCGCATCAATGCAAATGGCCTGGCATGATTGGCCACAAGGTGGGAGGGGTTCGCGGGCACCTGGCAGTTGTCACTTGGCAGCAGGACACCCCGCCTGTTGAATGTCGCGATGCGGGCAAGAGCGGGCTGTCAGCCATCGAGGGGCATCGCAGTGTGGAGGGGAGATCTCCCATTGACTCCATTGTTTCTTCCGGCGTTGCATTGCCAGATTCCTGTCGCAACAGTGCAACCGCTTTTGGTCACTCGCAAACTGGTGACTCCCCCGGATCTTCAGCAAATGCTTCAGTTTCTTCGCCTTCGCCGTCACCCGGTACCCCCACCCCCCTCCATCCTGTTGCAGCATACTTGCCTAGGGCTAAGTTAGTGTAGGAACTATTTCCATTTTTACGCTATGAACGTGGTACGTAGCGTTCTGCAACAGGGCAGGACAGGGCCATTGCGGCCAGCGGCGATGTTTGGGTGGTTTCGGCAGTTGAGAGCCCCTTCCCGTCGCGCTCTCCGACTGGAACGAAATTCGGCGTGCAACGAACGCACGTCGGCACAGGACCGGCAGAATGGGCTCCCATTACCTCCAAAACCGCCTGTATCTCCCCCTTGCAGCGGTGATTTCCGCCCCCCGAGCCCATTTGGTCGCATGCATTTGCTCCCAAAACGGCTGCCTCAGAAGCCCGGTGAGAAAAGGAACAGGCGTGGACAGACTCTGGTCACTGGACTCAAATCATCAACGCCTCTCGACATTCCGGTGAACGATGGCCAAGGGCCCCTTTCTCTTCCCGGGCCTTGGCTAGCCTAGAAGAGCCGGATTGTGTGCCAGGTACAAAGTACCTCGAGGCCGGGGGGCGTGAGAATTGGAAATTGCGGGACCCAGGGTTTGGGGAGTGCTTCCGGGGTTGGCGAACAGGAGCGAGTGGGAGCTGGTTGGAGTGGGCTGACTGGTGCCCAATGATTGGACAGACACACCTTCTAGAACCGATTGGGGAAGGCGACGCTCCCCGCGACAAGACACGGCCAGACCAAGCCGCTGCTTTGCTGTGCGGTTCTCCTCCCCCCGGAGCCTGACCTCTTAAAACAGCTGCCGCTCCCGAAAGCCGCAATCGTCACTGTCACCCGCAGCTATACCACACACCACGGGCGGAGAATAACTGAGCGAATCGTCATCGCCAACTCCGAACGAAGCTGACTGTGCATCTCTTGCGCAGTCTCAACCTCCACGAACAACCGATTTCAGCCTTCACAGTCGCCGAGTCGAACGATTTTCCTCGATTGAGTACGGAGTGACTGGTCCACAAGGAAGCAAATGCCTGTAGCGCACGAGCCGACATCGCGCACGAGTTTTCCACGTTGCGAATCCGTGTGACGCGATCCCAAGTCGAGCCGAACTGCAACGACGAACCTCCACAGTCCACGGCAACCTGTCGACGTCGGTCGCCTGAAGTCGAAAATGGAGCTTGTGGCGAGCACCGTGAGTGCGATTTCGCCGCCTGCTCCTCGGCGGGGGAGACGGGAGAAGCCATGGCCTCCTGGAAAACAAAAGAAGTTGCTGCGTCTCTACGTGTGCACACAGAGCGAGCGGTTGCCACTGGTTCGCATCCTCGAGCGCCTCAAGGACGGCACATTTGACCCTAGGTATGCAACACCCTGAAACAAAAGCGTCGGCTGTTTGAGTCCCAGAAGTTCGCAACACTACGCGGGAAACGTGTCCTAATTTGACGGTGAAACAGGCAACGTAACTCCCACAAACACTTGAAGAACTTGCTTCCGGACCGGAGGATCGATGACTGGCGGCCACGCGATCTGGCCACTATGTTAGTGCGTGTGAGGTTTCTGCGTTCGGTGAGAGCAGAGCGGAGGATCAGGAACCGCAAGGTTCGAAGGCGGCTGGAGACGCAACCACAAAACTTTGCGATTCAGGACATGCTCGATCCCCTGGACCACCGCATGTCCATTGACCAACCCCTCGCTATGGATAAGCTTCTTCCACCACCTTTATACCCCCACAGCCCGAGTACAGACAGTCCCTCGACCGTCAAACAATCCGAATCTGCTGGCTCCACACCACAAGCCATCAGCCATGATATCCCAGAGATGCCCGATGCGTACCCCCGGGACAAATCGCCCTCCCCCTCACGAACTTCCTCGACGACACCCTCGACGAAATCCGCTAAGCGCCGGTCGTGGGCATCTGTTCTTTCGAGTATCTCGTCCGGCATTTCGAGTCTCGCGCGCTCCTCTTCTTCGGCATCTTCCAAGAACGTCAACGCGAACCCAACTAATGCGAACACGGCGCTTAGCAAGATGACGCGGGACGAGTTCCTGACCATGCTTCAGGAAAAGCCACGCAAACCCACCAAGTCCACTGGCGCGCCAGGCATGGGGGCCTTCTTCAAATCCAAGTACTCGACCGTGAACCCGACAACCGAGGATCTCAACTCGGCACTTGTCCGCATGTGCTGCGCGGCGTCTGTCGCCCGAGGGTTTTCTGGTTGTGTGCATGAGCGCCTGTCTAAGGCGATTGATGCGCAGCGGACAGATGGCCGCGACTTTACGCAATTCCGGGTCACTGAGGAAGAAGCTAATATGGTGGACAAATACGGGAATTCGCTGCTTCACGTGGCCGCCCGGTGGGGAGCTCGTATCTCTATCTTGTTGATGATCCTCAAACGCACTGATGACGTTCAGCTGGTCAACCACCGCGGAGAGACATTCCTTCATGTGTTTGATCCCCCCGAAAGCCCTCGAATGCGCCCTGTATCATTCCTCAACCTCATCCGCACCTTGCGGTCCCGTGGCTTCGACTTTTGCCACCGAGATGTCGACAAGCACACGTTTCTTCATCACATCGTGGCCAAGAAGGAGTTCCCCATTGAGACGCTGTATTACGTGTTCAAGGAGGTGGGCTACGGGGCCGCTCGGTTCCTCATCGCCAACAAGTCCGCAAACGGGGAGAGGCTATGGCACAGCATCCGGAGGAATCTCGAAAAGGCCGCCCCAAAACTTCACCGCATCTTTGGCGACGAGGTCGAGTTTATCCGCCGATACCTTCCTGAATTCTCCTCCGAGGGCAAAGCCCCATCCACTGCGGACACCTCCACCATCGGATCCGACAGCTTAATATCCATCCACCCGACCGAACTCGCCGTCACCAGCCCCGTCACCCTTGACCCTAACGAAAGCAACGCTCAAAATGTCCGTCGGTCGCCCATCATGAAGCTCCTCCGCCGCGCTGCAGCAGGGCGCGCTGGGCTGACCGACGTTGAGCTCACGGCAAAACTCGAGACCATTTTCGAGACCGCGTCCAAGGCGACAGAATTCGAAATGCAAGCCTTCCTCGGGAAGCGCGACAATGAGGGCAACACGGCCCTGCATTACGCCTCCGAGTTCGGTCTCGTCCCCGCTGTGCAACTTCTCTGCGCCAAGGGCGCCTCCGTCAACGTCTTCAACAACTGCGGCAACACCCCTCTGCAGCTTGTCAAGTTTGCCATTCAACGGACAGACGTCCGGTCCGACATCCACATGGAAGCACGCTACCTACGCTGTGCCGTGCTCCTGCTCGAGCAAGGCGCTTTCGACCAAAGCAAGCTTGTCAGCGAGCGTTCCGTCATCTTCCCTTACGATGTGTTTGACGGCAGCGAGCGGTCTATCAGCAACCTCATGCGCCAAGGCGTAGCCTCGCAGTGCCGCGGGTTGCATCTTCTCACCTCGTCGGTGCGCCACCACTCACCAACATACCTAGAGGGGTTAGAGTCGCAGTTCTGCTCCCATGGACATCACCATCACCATGAAGGAAACCTCCTTCAACACGGCCAGTACTCACCAACCGACCTTGGCGAAGGGACTTCGGCCATGCCCATGTCGTTAACGTTCCAGACGTCGGTGCTGGCCCCGGAGGTGGCATCAACTTCATGACACCACTCGTTTATTTCTTAGCTTGTTAATATTGTTTTTGGTATCGAGTTTCCCGGTCCCGTGTCCTCTTGATGGGGGATACTGGCTTTTGCTCTATGGCCTGGGGGTTCTGCGTGTACAAAATTCTTTTGGGGAGGAGCGGCTGCATGGGGAGCGCGTTCTTTTCCGTTTTTCCTGTTCCATACTTTTGGCGTTTCTAAATTTCTTTTTCTTTTCATTTTACGGAGGCGAGTGCACTCAACCTACTATTTTCTTAGTCATTTTTTATTTATTCGCCTTCTGACCATGAGGAGTTGGTATCTCTCCTTGTTTGCCAGGGCGGGCAAACCTGATTGACAGCAGGCGTTTCGTGGAGCGTGCGTTTTCGAAAGGAAAGAAAGGGATGGATTGGATGGAAAAGGAACTGGCAGGCAGGCAGGCTTATGGCATGGCTGTGGAAGGGGAGGATGAATACAGGACGAGCAAAACGCGACCAGACCTCACTGGACTTGTTTCCTTTGTCTTTTTTGCCTTGGTTCCAGAGTTTGCGGGAGTATTTACGTTGTTTATTGTTTTCCATCTCGCTAACACTGCGGATGGATATATTTTGTATATACTGGCGTTGCAGCGTCTTGATCGTGGATTTGGCGCTGCGTGATGGAGATATCCCAATATTATGAAACGGCCCGCTTGGGTCGCCTTGAGCTGTTCTTCTCATCGCTACATTATTCTCCTGCACATTGTTATCGTATGTACCTTGTGATATCGCCCCTCATCGCCTTCGGCACTTACTGCCTTGACGTCTCTCGTCGGCGACCAGATGTCGATCAAGAGGCCGCCTGCCGTGCATGGTAAGTATCCACATTTCAAGGCACCACCACCATCAATTTGATGTGGAGTCCGCTAGTTAGTGGAGTTAAGTTAGGGGTGGAGTTGTTAGTGTGGAGTCCTCCCAAATCTGTGCTTCTTTTTTTGGTTCATCAGGATCATCATCTCTGAACTTAGAGGAGAAGGGAGGGGTTGTGTTTAACGTTATTTCTGTTCCAGTGGACGCAGACACGGCAGTTGGGTTTCTTGCTGATCGTTTCTTACTATGTAAGTTTCTTCGATTCCTTACGTTTTTTGCCGCCCTTTTGGGTTTAGTTAGTTTGTCTTGGGATGCGCGCTGCGCTTTGCGTGTTTGGTTTGGTTTGTTGGTTGTTGGTTGTTGGGACCTGAATCATTGCGATCGAACCAACCCAATGGCCTGGGTGAGACATGCCGCGGAGAAGCTGGTGTTGGAAGGGGGATGGGGGGGATGATCGAAGGTTATCGGTCCAGGGATGGGGAGAGGGGGGGTTGTTGATGTTGATGTTGTGCCTGGGCTTGGGGTGGAAGATGAGGGCTGTAAAGGGGGAGTTTCGAAGTCGCTATTTAGTGTACATGTACACTAGAACTAGCGAATGCAGCCTACACTATTGCAAGTAATGTTCATAGAAACAGACGCCACAAGGCAACCTCATGAATCATTGTTGACGACCTCACCCTCCAAGCCGGCGGGTTTACGTGAGTGTTCCTCAGAGGCTATCGAGCCTGCTCGCATGTCCTTGCCTGTTACGGTCGATAGTGATGATCAGTGATCATTTCGGTAGTCCCTTTCCGGAGCTTTTCGCGCCCTCTCCACAATTTCCTTGGTCCGCGCTTTTGCCCCTGCCTGGCAAGCTAGCTCAGAGCGGGGGCGTTGCTCATAAGAGTTGCTAACGCTAATGGGTTTAGTGAGCTTGGTGGGGGGGGTTGTGAAAGGTGAAGGTTTGATCGTGAAGGCCCGAGCGCTGGTTCAAGTGTTGGTGCTGATGCAATGATGCTGGATGGTTTCGGGGGTAGCCGAGGAGGTGGGCGATGCTTTGGCGGGAACTGTGTTCAGACAGTCAAAACGCGGGGAATGAAACGGGGTTGTTTTCTTGTCAAGAGAGTTCAAAACAGCGTTGAAACGGGCAATGCGGTTTTGTTTTGGGTTATCGTCATTCACTCTCAGTGAAGTGCACACTCACAGCCTCAGAGCCAGGCCATTAACGAACAGGGGTGTGCTGCGAAAAGCCCTTTTTGAACTTTTGAGATTCCACACACTCCACTTCGATCAACCAACACACCGAAGACGCACTGACGGTTCTTGGTGTGTATCTTGCATATCACAGTGGATGAGAACTTGAGAAGGTGTGCGAGAGAGGGGGGTCTGCGCAGACGGAACGCGACCGAACGTGTCGCGTCCGCGCGCACGGGCATGCATGGCCCTACACTAGGATGCTCGCATGGTCTTGTCAGCAACGTCGTCAGCGAAAATGCAAAAGTCTCGTCAGCAACGCAGGCTTTGCATGGTTTTTGCATGGTTACTTTTCTCGGAGAGGAAGTGCGGCCGGCGGCGCACATGTGCCTTGTGGCGTGCGGACCGGCCCTGTCGGTCGAGGTTGAAGAAACGTTCCCCGGCCGGGATTTCGGTCAGCTCGTCGGACCCGCCCGCCTTTTGGTGTTCAATTCAGCTGGGCAAGGCAAGGCTGGGGGTTTGTTGTCTCGCTCTCTCGGGCTGCATTAAGTTTTTTTCTCCCCCTTGTGCAGACATGGTGTACACACACCAACTAGGTAACTAACTCGTGTAGGTTGGCTCTCCGTTGGGGTAAGCGATCACGGGTTCCTATCACGAAGAATGGGCTCGGCGAAGATTTCTGGATGTGGCAATTATTCTGTTTTCTGTTTTCGGGGAGTGGGGCTTGCTCTTGGTGTTGGTTTAACAGCTCCAGTCCAAGTCTCGCTCGGCGAAACGGTGACATGGGCTTGGATTTCGCGAAATGACCCAGCGGGGAAAAAGATCTTGCCGGTTGGATACCAATGGACGGGAAATGTCTTAACTAGTGTGTGACGCCAAGGGTTAACGGAATCTTGAGACACCAGCACACCGGCCGAGGCCAGGGTAGGAATGCGGATGTTGACAACGGTAGTTAACGTGAGATTGTCCTCGCCCAAATCATAGTTCTGTGTTATGACGGCCGGGGTTGTAGCCCCGGAACGGTTGATAGAAAGGCACTAAGAGCTTCTGTCCAGGGGATTGCTGCTCGACCGAAATAATTCGGTGATTGTCGATGACGATAACTGGAGAAGCAAGTCTCATGTCTCGGGTTTCCTCAGTTGTATTATTACCCCATTTATCTTTCTCCGGGTGTGGTTATGATTATAGCTCGAATACTGTGATAAAGAGATGCCACGTTTAACATAACGCTGGCCTGTAAGCCCACACTTTGACTAATCGCACATCACATAGTAAACCTGATCCACGGCTAGGCTGTCCGATCGGGTGCTGTAGAATTCGATATAGTTCCAGCTAAGCAATCAATTGATGAATTGACATAGTGAAAGTGGGGTGACAGTCTCCTTAAACCCAGTCCCTGCCTAATTATTATTCAAAATATTGAGCGATTAGCTTTGTATCCTAAAACACCTACAATATTACTCTCGAGCACAAATATGGTACCCTGAGAATGAGAATCAATTGGACAACTCCTATTTTCTCTTTGCGGAGTCGTTATCATGGTCACACGACCACCTGCGTCATCGAGATGGCCTTAACTCAGTCCTTGAAGCTTGGCGTGTTCCGTATCACTTCCAAGGTCCATCCAACTTGACAGAATCTGGGGCCCAAAAACTAAGCAAACTGACAAAGTAGAAACAGGAAAAAATAAAAAACAACAACGAGCCATATCACCACATCAGAATCACCTTATCATGCCGTCCCGACAGCTCGGAGGTCAAACCGGGCCGATATGCCAAGTTCAGCCACCCCCAACCCGAGGTTACATGCAGCCAGACCTCAAGCCACCATCGGACCCCGCCGAGGCAAGACGATTGCCACGGTATTCGAGATAAGACCGGGAAGTTGTTACCAACCTCCGAGATTCAGAGTCAATGTGCTGATAAGGAAGGTGATGCTTTCCCCTCTCCTTTTTCTCAACTTTGAGATTTTCGACGCGGTGACTCTTGACTCGCCAATGTAATCTTCCAAACTTGCAGCGATATCTGTTGTGACAATTGGTTTCTGAGTTTCGTTCTCAATTCCCCGAAGCAGCTCGGGGAGGGGTAATTAATCAATCATTTGCCTCGGTAAACCCCAATTACGGCAGATACTCAAACTCACAAATCCAGCCCGTCGACGATACTTTACTAGCTACAATGAGTGTTGAGGACCCGCCAATTGAGCGCCGGCATTCGAATACCGGCGGCGAGACCAATGGGGCCAACGAAGGGGACGAGGACCGGCTAGCGCAGTTTGGGTACAAGCAGGAGCTGAAGCGGGACTGGGGGCTGGCGCACAACTTTGGGGTTTCCTTTTCGATTATTGTAAGTCATTGTCCACTATTCACAATATGTACTGTACCACCAAGACAACTTGAACTACTTGGACTGATAGACGTGCTCAGAGCGTCATCACGGGCATCACCACGCTCTTTTCCTATGGCCTCAACACAGGCGGGCCAGCCGGTATGTCTTTCGATCATGAATAGTTTAGTCAGTTCACTTACACACCCAGTCATGTCGATCGGCTGGATCCTCGTCTCCTTCTTCACCCTCCTCGTGGCAATCGCCATGGCCGAAATCGTCTCGGCCATCCCAACCTCCGGCGGCCCCTACTTCTGGGCCGCCATGCTCGCACCACCCCGCTGGTCCCCCTTCGCAGCCTGGCTGACGGGGTGGTACAACCTCCTCGGCCAAGTCGCCGTAACAACCGGCATCACCTTCGGCCTCGCCAACCTCCTGCCCACAGCTATCACGCTCAAACACCCAGACTTTGAAGCCACGCCCCGCATCGTCATCGGCATATATGCCGCGTTGCTGGTCTCCCACGCTGTGGTTAACACGTTCGGTGTGCGCATCCTCCGCCACCTGAATAACTTCTCCATCCTCCTCCACAGCGCGGGGATCACCGCGCTGTGTATCGCCGTGCTAGCCCTGGCGCCCACCCACCGCCCGGCGTCTTTCGTCTTCGGCACTTTCCACGACGGCACAGCAGCAGTCTCCGAGGATACGGGGGAACCCCTAGCCGACGGCTGGAGCATCCGCGCAAGCCCAGCCTACGTAGCGCTCTGCGGCGCGCTACTATCGCAGTACACGCTAACAGGATTCGACGCGTCAGCGCATCTAAGCGAGGAGACGCGCAACGCGAGCTGGAGCGCACCGATCGGCGTGGTGTCGAGTGTGGGGTTTAGCGCGCTGTTTGGGTTTTTTGTGTTGATGGCGCTGCTGTTTTCGGTGCAGGACTTTGAGCGCACGCTGGGGTCGGCGTACGGACAGCCGGTGTTGCAGATTTTGGTGGATGTGGCGGGGGAGAATGGGGCGTTGGGGTTGTTTTGTTTGATTTTGGGTATTTTCTCTCTTTTCGTTCTCCTTTTCTCCTTTTCTCCTTTCTGTTGACCGTCACTTGGCGTGCTCAGTTGTTGTGTGCTAACCAACACTCTTAGTCTGCGTCTGGCACTGCGGCCTCTTTAGCATGACCAGCAACAGCAGAATGATGTTTGCCTTTGCGCGGGACGGTGGAATCGTAAGTGCCCCTTGATATCCCTTATAACCAACTACCCCTGAATCATGACACACATACAACCCTAACCCTACCCCTTCACACATCAACATCGCGACTACTTACACAGCAACCAGCACCCCTACTTCCACATGGTCGACGCCCGCTTCCGTTCCCCCATCCGCGCCGTCTGGCTCTCCGCAACCCTCTCCTTCTGCCTCGGCCTTCCCTCGCTCGGCTCCAGCGTAGCCTTCGCAGCAGCCACCTCGATCGCCACCATCGGCCTGTACATCAGCTACGGCATCCCCGTGGCCATCGGTCTGCTCTGCCACCGGTCCTTTAGCGCGATGAAGGGGCCGTTCAACCTGGGTATGCTGTCCCGCCCCGTGGCGCTGGCGGCGTGTTTGTGGATTGGGTTTATTACGGTGGTGTTTTGCTTGCCGACGACGAATCCGGTGTCGAGTCAGACTTTTAACTATACGGCTGTGGCGGTGGGGATTTTGAGTGTCTTTGCTGTTGGGTCGTGGGTGGTGTGGGCACACAGGTGGTTTACGGGGCCGTCGGCGGAGGTGGCGGAGGCTATGAGGTTGGGGGTGGATATTACGGAGCCGGGGGCTTTGGAGGAGAGGGAGAAAGCTGTTGGGAACAAGGCAAGTGCGTCGAGTTAGGTGTGCTGTACCAACTATCTCAACCGAGTGCTGGATGGTTCTAGGAAAGAAGTAATAGGAGTTGAAACCATTTCTTGCTTTAACTAGCCATCATGTTGTCATCACCCCTAACCTCGTATTCCAGCGAATACATCCTATACACCCACAGTCACAGCATACACCCCCTGCCCAGCCCCAACATACACCACATTCCCATCTCCCTCCCCCCTCCCAACCACACACGACGTCGACCCCGTCACACTCCCCACCTTCACCGGCACCACCGTCCCCCCTCCCACGGGCACACCCGCCACATCCACCTCCACCAACGAATTCCCCCCATTCGTCGCCACATAAATCTTCCCTCCACCCCCTTCTGTATCCGTCCCCTCCGGCCCAAAACACAAATCATCCCCCATCAAATCCCTCCACAGCGTCTCATACCCCCCCCTCGCCTCCCCCGTCCCCTCATCCACCAAAACCCGATGAAAACTATTCTTAAAAATATTCGTATACCACACCACTCCATCGCGATACTTGATCCCATCAATCCCAAACGGAATTGCCTTCGACGCCGGTGCCATTGTCTCCTCGTCCTGCAACACCACGCTATACTCCCCCGTTTCCGTGTCCACTCTGTAGACGACACCTTGTCCGGCGTCGGCTACTAACACTGCTGTTTCGTGCAATACGGCTAGGCCATTTAGGTTTTGCGCTTCTGATAGCGTGGCTAGTAAGGTTGCGGTAGGTGCCTCGGAAGAGAAATCAACGGTATAAACAGCCTTCCCACTAGCGATAACAGCGAACTTGTCAACCGCGTATTCCCCGATCCCTGATAGTCCTGTGACGCCGTTCGGAAAACGGAGGGCGGTGCCAGAGGTTTTGGCGATGGGGTCGATGGTAAACAGGTTGGGGGAGTTCATGTTGGTTGCGAGGAGGTGGCCATTGGAGCGGGCGGCGAGGTTTTCGGTTGAGGCGAGGGGGATGATTTGAGTTGGGGGGGATTGCCGGGGGAGGAGGGAGGCGTGGGCCGTGGCTGGGAGAAGGGGGAGGAGGGTTGAGGTACGCATGTTGGGCGGTTGGGGGGGAGGTTTGAGGGGAGAGAGAATGGGAATAGTGGTGTGTTGGTTGGGTTTGGGGGTTGTAGGATAACTTCTCCCTGTGATGGGCGTGTCCCGTCCTTTTCAATGCCTGAACAAACCATACCGTCAGATCAACTTCAGTAAAACCTTCGTAGTATAGCGAATATCACGATGTTGTATCAAGAATCTCATTAACACCTCTTGGCGCACCCCAATATTAATTACAACCCCCGTGCCTAAATGACAGTGTTAACCACGACTTACATTTCCACCCAATTTGGAGCCCACTCCAACCCGGCAATCTGGCTAATCACCCTGTAACCCCATGCCCAGACTTTGCTTCCACATCCGGAAACACGGAAATATCACAAGTGTACAGATTACTACAGAAACACGGCCTGTCGGCTCGCTCCGAGGGTGTTTATTCGAGGGGTTTTATTTTCCGGCGTTAGTAGTGCGAGCCGAATGCGGAGATTTTATTTCTTTTTCTCCGAATTGCATTGTCTGAGCGCGGGAGGGGGGTTGATGCGAAAGTCGGAGAATTGTTGATTGGGTAATTGGAATAGGGTTGATGTCGGCAGTGGGTGGGTGTGACGTGCTAGTCACTGCTGTGGAGGCTTTGATGAGCTGGGGAAGAGAGATTAGTGCTGAACAAGGATGGGAAACGGGGTAGGAGCGAGTAGGCTTGAGAGAGGACGTTCGAGCTTGATGTCGAGATCTAAAAGGTATATTCTGGGACAGACTGGGACTCTGCTTGTGTAGTTGTCAGGCATGCATTCTTCGGTTCACTAGTTTTGCTTGACGCTACTTGCCCACGGTTTCTTTCGTTTCTACGTACCTCCTTACTTCAACCACAGTAGACTAATCGCCTTAGTAATTAGTCGCACGGCAAGGGAGTTGATTGAGTTCGATGTGCAGTTTGCCAGGTTGTTTGACGCGGGAGGAAAGAAAACGGAAGTGGCGAAAGGGATTTCGGTGGGTATGAGCATGCCGAGGATGATACAAGGGCGCTACAGCTGGTCGAGACAATGGTAGCTCTGGGGTAATGGTATATTGCTGCTTTTGGGGGAAATTTAGCAAGTTCAAAGCCAAAGCGGTTGTAAAAGAATGTCGACCAAGGTGAAGGTTTCGAGCCGGATGTTAAGGTTGCAGGTATTCTCGTCGCTGCAATGAGTCGACCAGAGATTCATACTACATACTTCAGGCCTAATCAAGGTCTTTTCCAACGAAGAGGGTGATATCCCTGCCTTAACTGTAACCATACATGGGGGAACTACAGGCTGGATACTGAGTAAGGAGCGTTGTTCCTAATAGTGATACAACTGTTCTACTGTGAGTTAGGCCTTGTATTCATAAAACTCAGGGAACTTATGGGTCTTTGGCACAAACTAAGATTGCTAACTTCGACGAGCTTGATCCGATTGACTCGGTTGGGTCGTCTTCCAAAGCTTTCTCCGGCCGCAAGTTCACAATCGGAGGCAGTCGACTTCGTCCGTTTGATATGACCTTCAGAGATGATTGGATCTGGTCCACTGAGGCTTACCATGTCCAAGGCATACAAGCGGGTGAATCAGCCTTGTCGGCCTCAGTTGGTTCAACCTCAGTTGGTGATTAGTCGCGGTTGAGTGGCTGGCAGCTGACTGGCACTGGCAGTTGGCCTCGGCCTCTACTGCGGCCAACCGCTGCCCAACCGAATAAGACGATGCATCATGGCAAATCAACGGCGGCTTCTGCCTAGATTCCCGGGTTTCCGTTTGCGCAGTCTTCCATTTGAATTACTTCCAGAAATACAACTTTCCAGACGGGGTACCGTTTGTTAACCCTTGACGGCAAGGGAGAAAAAAAAAGAAAGAAACCCAAGAAACAAAATGTGAAAAGTCAAAACCAGAGAAACGACAGCAGAACCCTCTCCATCAAGTGAGGCCCACCGCGAGTCATCGGCCGCCATGCCATTCCGTTGTACGCCTCCAACGCTCCCTCTCACACCCCCACTCCGATCTGCATTCTCAAAACGGGGGGCGACCGTAGTAAAACCCCCCAGCACGAATAGCGTAAAGCACACCAGTCAGTCCTCACGAGTCTAGAAGCATCCTTCACAGGTTAAAACACGCCTTATTGGTCTTCGCACTGATGTGTTGGCACCTTGCTCGCCCTACCTGCGGGCCGCTGCATTGGTTGCCGTGGGCGGTCCGCCGTTGGGTAGCTGGGGAGCTAGATGGTTGGAGAGTTGGAGAAAGAGGGGGAATGGGGAGGGTGGGAAGCGTTGCTGGTTGGTGTATTGCGTTGAGTGGTTGGTTGGAGGCAGTGGTGTCATGTCACGGCTTGGGGGGTTGGTTTGTCTGAGGCCGTTTGGTCTGTCTCTCTGGATGACTTGGTTAGCTGGCTTGGGTCAGTTGATTAGATAGTTGGTTAGTTGATCTGGTGTGGGGCGTGGAATCTGCATTTTCGTTTCGTTTGGGTTAGGAGTGTGCAAACGCGAGCCTTGCCCTCCGCAAGGCTCTGGCTCTGCTGGGTTGTGTATAATAAGATGGAGTTCCTGGGTTCTTCCACCGGCTTCCCCCTTTTCCTCCGCATAGAAACTTGGGAATCGCTATACGACGAATCTCAACACCATGTCGCTGGAAGAATGTCACCACGGCCTCAGGTGCCAGTTCCTGTTCACCGAAAACTGCTGGCATTACCACCCCCAAGCGCACGTTGACGAGATGTACCGGAAGCGGGCCGAGCGGGTGGCCGAGATGGAAAGCGGCCTGGAGGTGCTCGAGGAGATGGACCTGCAAGCCATGTTGGCCTGGGGAACTAAGGGGGGACATGAGGGAGGACAAGGTGATGGACGGGTAGGTATCACGCGGGTGCGGGAGCTGGCGAGTTTCAACAAGGTTGCGGATGGGGTTATCGCTGTGCCGGGTGTGTTTACTTTGACTTGTTTACTTTCTCAGCTTCACCACTCGCCTTTCATTATTTTCTTTTGTTTTATTACTAATTATTACTGCTTTCTTGTTGTACTTCTACTGTTGTCATACTAACATGATTAGGACTTCCCCCCCGACTCAACCCCGTTATTAGTCCCCTCTGGATCCCCAGAGACTGCGACAACCCTGCGCTGCGCACGCGCTACCCGCAGTACACCCACCACTTCGAGCCCCTGCTGCGCGCCGTCGAGGCCATGCCGCGGGCCGTCCATGACCTGTCCAAGTCATCCCTCTCGAACAATCCGATGATGCCCAGCGGCGAGAACATGCTCAAGACGGCCGACATTATCAGCAACGCCAACAACCTGCGCCGGCTGTTTCACTACGTGTGCAACACCGCCTGGGCTGCCGACCGCTTCGAGGCCGAGGTTCGTGGCACCACGCTGCTGCTGTCACGCTGGAACGACGACCCGGATCTGCTGGTAAGCTTTGGTCGCGGCGTTGGCTTCGAGCGGGCCACCTGCCGATACACGGACGATGTGGACGATGTGATCCGCGAGAGCGCCAGCCACCATCGTGTGTGTTCGTACAACCTGGGCGGCTTGCAGATGGTGGTGCAGAGCGAGGTGGATGCGTATTTCTGCGAGTGTGACCATCAACAACAGACCGCAAAACAAACCGACGAGATTCTTTCGGTTACCCCTGAACCGGTTACCCCTGAACCCGATGTTCTAAAACACACCGTCACCCGCACCCGTACCCGTACCCGTACCCGCACCCGAACCGAACCGCTTCCCGTGCCGCACAAAAAGGGCATAACTGCACCCTCCCGCCAGCGCCAGCGTCTCCCGTCCTTTACGGCCCTGACCCTCGACGACCCGGGCGATGCTCCGCCCTTTACACCCATTTCCACCCCTTCACATAGGGTGACCCGCCCCAGTTCAACCATCACCGTCCACCACATTCCCGGTCCCGGTCCTGCTCCCCGTTCTTCTCTCTCCAGAACCCACGGAAGCGCCCTGCCGACGGCCAAGTGCCTAGTGGAAATCAAAACCCACAACGGCCGCACGTCGCAGCGATCCACAGCCGAGGAACAACTGTATTTCGCCTGTCGATCGCAGCTGTACAGCGCGGCACACGATGACGGTGTGTTTTCGCCGTCGTCTTTGGTTTCACAATCATCTGGACGACGGGTTAGCAACTCTTCTTTTGCGTCTGCTTCTGCTTCTTCTTTTGGGACTTCTTCGTTTGGTTCCTCACCGCCGAAACCGGGACGGTACACACCGCCTCATCTGCGGTCGCCGTCTTCTTCGCCTCCGAAGAGTTGGTCGTCCTACGGACGGCGTAATACCGTTTCTCCTTCTTCCTCGTCTACATTATCCACTTCGCCCTCGTCAGCTGCAGTCTCACCGCCTTCATCGCCATCTTCCCCTTGTTCGGTATCTTCACCGGATACAGGCCCACATCCCGGCCCACAGGACATGACACACCTCATGCACCGGTTTGAATCCGAAAACGAGAAAGCGCTTAGGCAGCTGGTGATCTTGTTGCGGATGATCCGGGAGAAGGTCATGGCAGTAAGCGATGAGGAAGACGGGAGGAGGGTGAGGGTGAGTTTGGTGTTGGAGTCGAGGACGGAAAAGGGAGCGAGTATCAAGGTGTTTCGGGGGGCAGAGGGGGAGAGTGGGTTGTGGCCTTGATTGGGGCTCAATGTAAGGTGTAATCATGGGATCGAAATTGGAACTATTATGGAATTAGTCGAGCAGTAATGAGTGTCTAAGGAATCTATCAACCTCTATCGCCCTCTATCAACCTCTATCAACCTTCCCCAACTCTAGTTATACAAAGGAAACCCAGCCTCGTCAGTCATCTTTCTCATCCCTCCCATAACCCTCTTATCATACAATCAAAACACAACTCCCCAAAACCAACCTAATAAGTAACCCCCACAGCCTTCCCAACCCACTGCCCCCCCTCAACCTTGATACACTCCTCCCACACCCACTTCCCCACATCCTCCCGGCTAATCGTATACCCAAGCTCCCTCTTCTCCACCACCCCCTTGCCCACATCCTCCACGCCCACCCTCACCAACCCCTCCGTCTCAGGACCGCTGGTGTACAAACTCCCCCGGATCAACGTAAACCGCACCAGGCCTTCTCCTTTTCCTTCTCCTTCTCTCTGCCCTCCCTTGGACGAGTGATGAGAAGAGAGCGAAGAAGTACCAGCAGCGATAACCAACCGCTCCATACCCCTCTTATCCTCATGCGCCGTATGCAGCCCAACCTTGTACAGCGGCACCACCAGCAGCGGGATATCCCGGCCCAGCGAGGATATACCTGTTGTGCTGATGGCGATTAGGTGAGGGGGTTGATAATTGCTTGTTTGGTCCTCCTTCTGGGTTGTATTATTGACGCTATTATCTCGCTGGGCACGCTGAGCACGCAACACATCCAGCAGCACGCCCATGCCCTTTTCGCAGACGTGTGGATCGGACATGCCGCGGAGGGTGGGATAGGCACCGAGGGAGAATACGATGGTGTCGATGGGGGAGGGGACAGTAGAAAAGCAGCGGGTGACGGCGGCCGGGTCGTGGGCGTTGCCGGTGATGATGTGGAGGTTGGTGTTGTTGTTGGTGTTGGTGCTGGTATTGTTGGTAGTGGACTCAGAAGGGACGAGATCGGCTGGGAGCTGGGAGGTTAGGTTGGATGGGGTGCGGCAGAGGGCGATGCAGGTGTGTCCGGCGGAGAGGGCACGGCGGAGAGCGGAGAGACCGACGCCGCCTGTGGCACCGAGGAAGAGGATTGTTTTGGCCATGATGATACTGGTGGTGTTGATGGTGGTGACTTGGTTGAGGTGGTGGTCTTGGAACGGTTTGGTGATATTCAGAGAAGATACAAAACGTGATCGTGTTCAGATGAGTCTAGGCTCTTGGGATGTTCTTGATGTGATGTGATGTGATGCTGGTGATGGTGACTTCTAACTTCGACTCTGCCCGCTCTTCCCCCCTCCTTTTATCCTCCTCAACAGCGAAGAGTCGACGACTCATACCATTCTCATGACGCGTACGGCCACAATTTCTGTGACGCGTACGGCCCAACTCTCCCCCATCACCGCACAAAATTTCAAGCCACCGCGCAAAAGTCCATCCGTGATGCTCCCCTCTTGGTGGTGTGGCGTTCTGCAACAACTGACCCGAGTCGACAGCACTCGGACCACTCGGCCCCAGTTTGCCCCGTGTCGGGTGATTCCAGGCTCTCTGCCCGGGGCTGTGTTGGGGCGCTGGCCAATCAGCGGCGTTATTTCTCTTCCGCCAGCGTCCCGCCTGGCGTCCCGCTCAGCGGCCCAATCTGCAAGAGGCTCTCGAGTTCCTCCGTCCGCCCACTGTGGCTGCTCGTTGTGCGCTGCCATTGGGCGCCCTCGTCCTTCCGGGGCCGACTTGGCAACCGCCCGAGGATCTGGCATGCCACGCAACCTCTCGATCCAGCCACAGCAGGGGTGTTCTTGAGAAAGGGTTCTCGAGATTTGGGGGAACTGAGGAACTCGTGAAAGTCAAATCGTTAACCCTAACCCCGAGATGAGGCACCTGGAAACCCGCTGGGTCTCTGGGATCCAGCAGATTAGGTCGTGCCACTTCTGCGTGCATTTGTGATCAGTGTCGTGCTCCAGACCAGGCCCTGAAAGGCATCCTGAGCGATCCTCCGTGACTCGACGAGAAGGATCTCGGGGGAAATGCCGAGATCTCTTTCTCGTGCATGTCGACCCTCTTTTCATCTTTTAATCTTTCGTCAGACGGTCCCTCTGTCCCCGCCTGATTCGCCCAGTTTTACCTACTTGGGCCGTTCATCGATTTATCGTCAGACTTTCAGGAACCAACATTGAACCCCGAGACGGGGCCATCCCTGGACGATCGTGGCGCCTAGACGTCGGCTGGAGTCCCCAACGCCCCGATGCGGGAAGGCGACTTGCCTGTTTCGTGGGAGTGCAGCAGATGCTGCGGCCGATGTGATGATGTTCGAATTAACGTTAGCGATGGTCGAATAAGTTTAGGGAGGGAGTGGAAGTGGAGAGTGAGGTGGAGGAGAATGAGGGGGATGGAGTTGAAGTGGAGGGCTTGGAGGGGTCAGCGGGGCTTTTGCTGTGAATTTGAGGCCTTTCGTTTTACCCCCACTATCAGCCGCCAAACAGCACTGGAGGCCTTCAATAAATCCGGGAGGCTCACTTGTCAAAAGCCGCAATGGTTCATCACATTGGGCGTCGGGCTCGCAGGGATCCCGCTCGGCTCCAGGTATTTGGATCCTTTGAGCGTTTAAGTTTCCCCAATGAGCGACTTTCCCAGACTTTCAGCAATGGACGATGGGACGAGAGCTTGGAGGAGACGATAAGATGAGCTGTGTGGCTGTGGCACTAATGTCCCTTGTCCGTCCAATGGATCCACCAGACGTTCTCGCCAAGAGGAATGGGGAAATCGAGCCAGAAGCGAGAAGCCAAAATCCACTGTCTCATCGGCCCACGGCTTCTGCTGTGGGCGGACTTTGTTGTTGTGGTCGCACTTGCCGGGGAGAAACGGTGCAGATACCGAGCTCCAGGTGCGCGGTCCTCTGTTCGCCAACGCAGGACGATGCAAGTCGTGATTACCCGGAAGAACGCGGACGGCGGAAGGAGCTGCCGGGAGCTGCAGTGAGACACAGCGAGATGTCCACTCCACTGTGTCGGTCGTTCCTCCCTTCTTATTATTATTCTCACGCGGGGTGAGGGGATAACCATTCCCACAACTTTTGCCCGCCCAAAAAGCCCATCTCCCCACTTCTCCACCACCACCACCACCACCACCATACCACCCGCTCGATGCCCAAGGAGGTTTTATTATTCGTCATCTAGCGACCCGACGGAACCCACGCGAACGAGTGACGGCCGGACGCGATCGTTTTCGGGCTTCCCATCTGGCGAGCCTGGCTTGCCTGGATCTGCCACTGTGCCACGCTGCATCTATCCACGGTCACGCCTTTGCTCACCCGTTTTCTTCTGATGAAATCTTATTGTGGCAAAAACAAACAAATTAATAAGTAGAATGCCGGGCGAGATGGGATCAGGCACCCAACACCAACACGCCAACATGACCACCCGGCCAGCCCTACGGCTGCAGGTCTGTCGATCTTGGTGCTTGGGCCCTGAGCGGACGAGACCGGCGAGATGGTTTCACTTTGGGTCAGTGTTAGATCTTGTTTCGAGATTTTTCCCTTTCTTTGTTCCATTGTCTTCTCCCACTTTTCTCTTCCGAGCACCCGACGAAACTCGTGCTCCCCTCGTGAAAGACCATCGCAGATAGCTCCGGCTCCGGTATACTCGACCCTCTCGGCTGCCCGCGCCCGTCCTTTGTCTGCAGCCCCATCGTCCGTCGCCCGAGGGTCAGCTGCGGGACCCCGGAATTGCCATGCGCGCCCGTTGGTCCCAGGCATCTCGGTCGCCTCCGATCTCGACCAGCCCGCGGTAGAAGATGACCCTGGCACCTGACTACACAGCGCACACAGTAACAGCCACAGCCGCATCTCGAACGGTCGAATATCTCGAACCTCGGACCTCGAACGCCCGGTCTCACGAGCGCGCAACGAAAACAGACTGATTAACGCCCAATTCCACGTAACACCCGCGCTCTGTTGCTCCCGAAGATGCCTGCCCGGACTCGATCCCACAGCCGTTTGTACACATTTTTGTGCACTTTTTTGTGATGCCCTCCTTTCCAAGCAAAACTCCAATCGCGGGCTTTCCGGTCGTTTCGTCGTTTCAGCATTCCCGTCCCGTTTCCCGGGGAGATGCGAAATGCGAATTGCGAAATCCAAACCGCACATTTTGCGTTGTATTAATTCCACGTTTCCGTTGTAGGCTTGCGGAGAGGGGAGTTTACTGTGGTCCACGTTTCTTCCACGAGTCAGGGCCCAATCTCATATTAGACACACCCTCAAGGTGAACATGGGGGAATAAGGTGGGGAGAACCCGAGAGGCTCGGGGGTGTGGACGATGGACGACATTTGATACACACCACACCACACCACACCCTTTTTCACTCCCTGTCTCCTTGTCAAGGTGTGAGTGCAACTGTGCAAGTGCAAGTGCAAGTGGAAGTGGTGTGTGGCTGGCTGCCGGGGGTTAGCTACCGGCCGGCCTCATGTTGTACGACTTCAACGCCGACGCACTCTCGCACACACACGCGCGCACACATGTTCGCGCAGGGGGGTTCTTCGTCGCTCGTTCGTTTCTTCTTTACCCCATGACAGGATAATTTCTCGACATTTTCACCGCTCGACACGCATCTGTTTCCTTTTTTACTAATTATTTTCTCACCCTCTCTTCCTCTTCCCCGTCCCTGGCGTTGTGCCTCGAGCCGTTTTGTACTCCCCTTGTGTCACGTCCTGGTGCAAGGGGAAAGGGGGAGGAGCAGCAGCAGGCAAAACAAACATGGCGCTCGGGGGACACGGTTGTTGGTTGTCGCCGTCGTCGTTGTCGTTGTCGTGGGTGTTGTCGTTGTTATTGTTGTCGTCATCATCATCATCCTCCTCCTCAGCCTCCTCTCGATTACCGCTCTTTTCAGAATACCAGATACAAGCCAGTCGATCCGGATCGTCATCGTCGTCGTCGTTCTCGACCCCGTCGTTGTCCTCGACTGCCTTGTTCTCGACCTTGTCGGCCTCACCGTCCCCGTCACGATCGCTATCTACACACTCGTTCGTCTCCCTATCCCACATCCCCTCCACTACGACCACCTCCACCTCTCCGTCTATCTCCACCGCCAGCATAACACAAGATGTCTGTCGCGATCCTCAGCCCGCGGCTGCATACCGCTCTGCCGCCATGGCCCGAGCCGTCCCCGTCGTTCTTTCACATCCCGGCCGCACCTTCTCTCGCTTCTGCTCCTTCTCCTCCTGGCGTCCCTCTTCAAGTCACGCCTCCCTCGGCTCCTTCATCTCCCTCGCCTCTTGCTCTTGCTGTCATGCCCTTCTCCTCGACCACCAACGTGGACACTCCCATTACTAACACCAACACGAAAACCTTCACGACCAACACTGCTACGGGTGACACCGACACCGAACCTCAAACGCAACCCTGGAAATACGCCACCCGTATTACCTGCACCATTCCTAGCGGCAGAAGCAGCACCAGCAGCCTCCTCAGCACGTCCACAACTACTGCTGCTAGCATGCGTGTGACCCGGCCCACCGCCAGCCTCCGTTTCGGCCCGCTGCAAGTGTTCGCCGAAGCAACGGTGCTTGACCCTGACGCTGGTTCGTTTCCCGGTGCGAGCAATGGCAGTCTAGCATCTGAGAGTAGTACCACCAGTGCCAGCTCCACCGGTAGCACTGGTGGTCGCGGTATTGGATCAGCAGCACCAGCCGTCGGAGTAGCAGGGGGAAAGGGGGCCACGAGAGGGGGCGAATCTAGCTCCTCCTCACGGGACGATCTCAGCACTTCCAGCACCAGCAACAACAGCGCGGCGTACTTCCCCTGGCCCGTCTTGGACGCTGTGTTGTGCAAGATGGTCATTGTGGTGCCCTGCAAAGACGAGAAATTGTCGGTTATCCGCGGCGTGCTGGCGGCTATCCCGGTGGGATGTGCCGTCATTTTGGTGTCGAACTGTCAGAGAACGGTGTCCTCGCTGTCTCTATCCCTGTCTGCTCAAGGGAAGCTTGATGGGGGTGATGATGATGGAGAGCGTGGAGAGGATGACGACGACGAGTACGCACAGCAAGCAGCTATGGCTCTGGCGTTCGCGTCACCTGGACGTCCGGTCATGACGGTTCATCAGAAGGACCCAATTGCCGCGGCCGCGTTGCGAGCGGCGGGTATGGCTGACCTGTGTGAGGTCGCTGATGACAAGGACAAAGAGAACAAGAAAAGCAAGGACAAAGCGGTATCCGGTGATACACCCACCCCCGAGACAATCCGCGACGGAAAAGGCGAGGGAATGATCCTCGGCATCGCTCTGGCGGCGGCCTTTTGCCCCGGTCGAAAATACATTGGCTTTGTCGACGCCGACAACTTCTGCGCGGCTTCAGTGACGGAGTACTGTAAGGACTTTGCCACTGGGTTTGCCCTGTCTTCGGAGCGAGATCAGCGAGAACGAGAGGGGGAGATTGACAGGGACGAGGAACGCGACGTGGAGGAAAAGGAGGAAAAGGAAGAGACGATGGTCCGGCTGCGATGGGCATCGAAGCCCAAGGTCCGCAACGGCATGGTCGAGTTCGTGCCGGAAGGCCGGTGCTCGCGCATTGTCAACTCGTGGCTGAACCGATTGTTTTCTCTCGATGGTGGGAGTGGAAGTGGAAGGGATGGAGCAACGGAAACGCCTGCTCAGAGTGGCTTCATCACCACCGGCAATGCTGGCGAACATGCCATGACCATGGGCCTGGCGCTGAAACTGCGCTTGGCATCGGGTTATGCTATTGAGCCGTTCCACTTTGTGGATTTGCTAGAGCGCGCGCAGATGACGGGCAGGAACACCACAAATATCAGCACCAAACAGCAGACGCCGTCATCGTCGTCGACAGCTTCATCGTCAGTACCCGGTATCAAACCATTAACCAAACCGGTCCGCATCCTACAACTACGGACCCGCAGCCCGCACTACCACCGTGCCTCACCCGAGGCACATATCCGACGGATGTGGGCTGTCGGACTAGGCTGTATCTATCACGGACTCGCCTCAGCCACGGCGTTCCTCCGACAAGGTTATGGTCAGCGGGGATACCATACTCGGCGGGAGATAAACAGCAGCAACGCAGATACTGCTTCCAAAGAGCCCGAGACGGACCATCCCATCACCGTCGACGCTGATGATGCGGGTGGGCTCAACGACGCTGGAAATAATCCTAATACTCATAATACTAACATTTCTCATCTCCTGCGCGAGATGCACAACTTTGCGAAGGACGGCGGGGCCGTGGAGGCTGAGACAGGCGCTCTACCCCGACCGAGAGTGTACCCTGCGCTAGAAGGAATGGATGGACGGAAGTTTCGCGAGGGGATGCTAGGCCGGAAGGGAAGGGCTGGGGGGACGTTGAGGATGGCTGGTGTGTGAGAGTTGATATTTGAGGAGTAGTTAGTCCTGGAGAGAGAAAGGGTGAGGGGGGTATTTATTCAAGTTTGTTAAAGGCAACAAGGGTGGAGAGGAGATGGTGTTGGGACTAAAATCGGTGCTGAGTTTGGAGAGGGGAGGTAATGTGATAATGAAGTATGGTAATGACGGTATGACGGTACGACAGAATGGGTTTTAGGATGGGGTTTTGCGGAGGTAATGTATCACCTTGAGGTCATCGGGTAACGGTACGGGCACAGGGTCAGGAGTGTGTTTGTTTTGGGGTTTATTTTTCGACATTTTTACTCTAGGTTAGGGCATTAGACGTTACGGTCTCAGATTATCGGGTGAGCATACTAGGCCAGATTGCATTTGGTAGGATCGGTGCTGGGGTATTTGAGCAACAAAAGGATGGATGGGGATTGAGATTGAGATTGAGATTGAGATAGATATAGACAGTGAGTAATATTTAGTCTTATTAACTTGGAATTGAGTTTATCTATCATAGGACAATAGTGAAGGGCTAAGACGGGTGGCTAGTTGTGAATTCATGAAGCTAGAGTATTGTCGAGTGTGATCAACCGCAAAGTGGGCGCATTCACTTGAAATGGATATAGCTTCATGGAACAATTAGCAGAGTCAAGACTCAAGAGGAGCAGCTGTGTCAATCCCGCTTAGGCAAGCGAGGCCGCAAGGAGTGGAGTTTGGCTCTGCTCCGGTGACAGCACAGTGGAGAATATCCCCAAAAAGATGGAGTAATTGCGGAGGAGGACCTTCCGAAACAGACACAGACAGAGGGAAAAATAGAAGTCTTTGAGCCGCACCCGATTTGAACGGATAACCTTTCGATTGCTAACAGTAGCTGGAGTCGAACGCGCTACCGTTGCGCCAGCAGCCCCGCTGACTTTTGTTGGTTGGATCCGCTGTGGGGTTTTGAGGATGATATGCCTTCCTCTTTTAGTCGGAATACTTTTCAATAACTATGAATTTTGGTTAATTGAAGCATTGGTGAGATAGCCCATTACGACGGTTTGGTCAAGCAAGCGAGGATTGATGGGATGACGAGAGAATGGGACTGTTAATGGCGTCCACATAATACGTGCAGGCAAATGTCGGCGATGCAGGCGAAACAGAGGTTACTGGTAGTGGTATCTTGGACGTCGTCGTTATCAAAACGCTGTTGTTTTTAGGAGGAATTTAAGCAACCACCGACTTTATTTACTCTCCTCGGCCAATGACATATTATACCATCCTCTTTGTTTGCACATGAACCTCGAGCCTTCAAATCATCAATCTTAACGCAACAGCATCCCGCCACCTCTAGTCTCAACACAGCCATGTCTATCTGTGATAATTAGCACGAGTTTCCCAAGCGAGCAGATAACCCGCCAAAACTCTTGACAACACCGACCAACGTCGGCATCAAGGCTATTCTCCCGGCCGCTCTCCAACGTCCCCCCCTCCTGCTCGGCATCACCTCGAACGGCCTCATGCAACCCATCCAAGTCTATCTTCGTGACCATGAGTGTACCGTACCCATGTTGCTCAAAACACCGCCCCACCAACACAACGGTTTGGAAATCATGAAGTTAATTAACTAGCGTAGTAATTGGCGTTGTTTGTGGTGCTAAAGTTGAATACCGGTCTGCCAGTTCGCGGCCCGGGCAAGAAATAAATTGCCGGGTTCCTGTGGTCAGTGTGCTGTAAAACCTTACTGTGGTAATTACGGTGTGGTTGTTGTTTGACCGGGGTGGGGTGGGTTAGGTCTGGTTAGGTCTGGTCAGGTACTTGGATGAATTTGTTTGCTTTGCTCGGATACCGGACCCGGTCTGGGCTGACCGGCTGGGCGTTTTTTCTTTCCTGTGAGCTCTTTTTGGTGGAAAGGGGGGGAGGGGGGCCTTTCCTCTGGGCCAATTCTTGGACGGTTGGACCTCCTTGGGCCTAACCTAACGTATTGATGCCTGCTTTTGTCGTCGGATCTTGTTCGCGTAGCGCGGCGGTGTGTTTCTCAGTTTCTTTTTGAGAGGGTTTTTATGCTGGACATTGACATCGCACCAAGCGGCCAAGAAAGGAACTTGCCGCGGCTAAGGTGTCTTGGAGTTGTTGTCGTTGGTTTGAGATTGCCCCGGGCAAGGGACAAATGTCTTGAAACACTTCCCAAAAAAAAGCCAAAGAAAAAAAGCGTTAACGGCAGATGGCGATGATGGTGGGTATTCAGGGCAGTATGTGGTCAAGGGTTTTCTGGTCTTTTCTACACGGTGCTTCATGCACGACACTCGGGGATCCTGCGCCTTGTTTACATCCGTTGCAGGGTTCTGCGAGACACGATCTCCGTCGGCCGGTTTGCTGTTGTCATTGATGTCATGTGCCCTAGACGCGGCCGCTGGTCTGGGATTCCCAGTCGGGTGATAATTGCCGTTGTTGTTATGGATGGTGTTGTTGCTGTGCACTGTGTATCTTGCTGTCTCTGACCTTGACTCTGCCTGTCTCTAGTTCTATTATCCCTGACTCGCGGCTGAGAGCCTGAGACGGCCGCCTGCAAGGCCGACAGATCGGCGAGATAGTCAAGTGTTCCGCGGTTGTTATCACTCACACAGCGGACCGCGGAGATCATCAAGACATCCAGCGCCTGGTTGTTAGCCGATGTGGACCGGGCAACAGACGGCACGACATGCAGAACATCTATCCATCACCCACGGAGCAGCCGTGATTGGGTTGTTAGCGGTTGGGAAAAGGGGGAGATGAGACGGGATGCGAGGGGTTGGACGAGTTTGGGATGGGGTCGTGTGCTTTTCGAATTTTGCCGAGTGAGGATATCAACTCAATCAAGGTTATTGGAGAGGACGCCCGGAGCAGGCGACAGGCTACTAGGGGGTTCGAGACTCGGCAGCCGCGAGCAAGCATCTGACAGGTTGCCTTGATGATTGATGTTTCGTTCTGCTACCAACCATCCGCGATGGCGAGAAGTAATTATGATCAGAGGCAGATTCCGAGTCTCGGCCTGTGAGAGTCTGAGCTTTTCAACCCCCAATTGATGAACCCAACTGACGACCGACCAACTGGACGAACGAATACGGCCATACCGCCTCCCATAACGGGCATCAACATCCAAAAACCCTGCTCCCGTCGCCGAGCTGAGCCAGATTGTTCTGCAGCTCGTCACAAGCCACGGTGGTTTGCGGTGCATCGGGGGTGCTGTGGCCCTGTGGGTTGAGAGTCTGGCGGTTAATCGACCAATCCGGGGCGTGCAAGTCACAGCCGATGCACCCCATTGAGCATTCATCGCTCGGTTGCAGCATCCGCCCCAGCAAAAACCGTTCCAACGGGTTCAGCTAAGGGGGCATTGGTGTGTATTCGGGTTGCATAATTTCTGAAATTTTTGTTCATGAATCAATTAATGTGAGGTTGTTGGTTCTTGGGTTTTGGAGGCCCGTAATATGATCTATCATGTCGCTCGCTTTTCCCCACGACAACCCTGCCCGGCACCGAAAGAGTCAAGAAACCAAGCTGCACAGCCACGCCTTCGATTGGCCGAAACACGCCGCTCCGGGCGTGGGGCCGTATGATGCGGCCCAAAAAGGCGGCCCGGCTGCCAGCCCGGCTCTCTCGTGCCTCCCAGCATTTCTTGGAGTTGAGTCGCCAACGCCGCGAAAAAAAGCTGCATTTTGGCCGGTTCCCCGGTACTTCCGGCCCTCCCCCTTTTCCCTCGCCCCGGATCTGAGCCAACGAGCGGGCCCCCCTTCCGGAAGAGGGCGAGCGAATGTGCGATTGGGGGTGGCACTGAGGACGGCTGCCGGACACAGCCCGAGGCTAGCGATCTAAAGATGCAAAAGAACAACCAACAGGTATCACAGTGCCAGGGCGAGGAAGCCGGTGAGGGTTGGACGGTGTTGGCTGCGAGTCCTGCGACTGATTTTTGAGCAGCGACAACAGCATCCGCAGCAGCACTGCAGCAGCACTGCAGCAGCAAAGGCCACACAGAACCAGAAGCAGGGAAATAGGTTGGAACGCGGTGGGAGTCATCGAACGCGCCCTACATCGGGTCATCCGATCATGGAGATGGATGGGAGACTCGGATGATGTTTGTGGTGTATCCGTAGGTGGCTTGGAAAACCGTTGATTTTTTGCATCTCGGTCTGATTTCCGTTGGCGATCCAAGTGGGTGAGACAACATTTTTCATTGCTTCTTTTGAGGATCCCAAGGGTACACTGAAAGGTGTGTCGATTCATGAAAAATTGAAAACCCCCGACGATAGCACCGACAGCTTCCGATGAATGACGAGATGATAGCTCCGCACGACACGCATCTCGTCTCAATCACATGCTCATAGGGCTGAGGGAATGATGGGACGATCTACGATCCCCCTGCGTCGACCCGGCCGCGGGCAGCTGTAAATCAACAGATCGCAGCGCATTATTGGCCAATGGCAGTATCAAGGCATCTCGACGAGGCATAGCCAGAACTACAATCCATTGGGTGCCTCAGGGGGGCCAAGGCGACAGCGGCCGATAGGGGGAACTCGGGGGGGTCACGAACGGTCCACTGCCCGGCAAAATAGGGCTACAGACAAACCAGAGGAGGAGAACAATGGTCTCGAGGGGGTATGAGGTCACCATGGTGACCTGACCGAAATATAACTGGGCCTCCCAATGGGCAATGGGCAGGTCATGGGCAAGCATTGAGCGGTGATGGATATTACTGGGCTTTCAACTTTTCCAGCGCTTTTGCACTGTGTTGGCTGTGGCTGAACTCCTCTGTGTCTTCTGTGTCCTCCCCGAAAAGGTAGTCTTCCAGAACAAAAAATTCAAAAGTCGCAGGGAAGAAGACACTAAGGGGGCCATTTCGCATTTTGGGGGTCTGTTGGTTGTCGCGTGCCAATCAGGCGGTGCCAGCCGAATGCTGCTGCAAGGCCCAACTCTTTCGGCCGGCGCTTAACTTACACGCACAACCCACAACCCTTGAACCCACAACGCTGCTGTGCATTTGCCCATTGCGCCCGTCCACCTCACGGTTTGCCCAACACAGGGGCACTGCCCGTAGTACTAACCCATTCTCCAGGCCGTCAACCGGCAGCGCAGGCCATTGTGACCTGTTGGTAATTACTGAAGTTGAGAGCTTTCGGATTTCCCCCCTTAGTGGCCGAGCCCCTTACCCCCTTACCCCCTTACCATTTCTTCCCCCTACCCAGGACCCGCACTTGGTGGTTCACGTAGAACATTGACCAGCTTTTTGGTCTAAGACACCAAAAAGCATGGACCCCCTTCGAAGCTTCCTTGCACGCTCGACCCAACGGACCCAGACCCGGACACCGCCCCCATCTTCCCGGCGCAGGAGAGAGGCAAAGATAGTAGGAAAGGGGGGGGTGTGGACTGCGTTCCCTATTTCCCGTGAAACAAGCTTGCCCTCTCACAATGACACAAACCAACTCGTCGTCACTCGCGCATATGTGCCGTGCCCAGCCCTATTCTCCCGTTGGTCTGGTTGGCACTTGGGAATATCATGGAGGTACTACGCAAGGTCGTACAGTGCCACTGCCGCGCTTGTTCATCCTAGCTCGCTCGCGGCTGGACCGGGGTCGCCCGGCCATTCCCGCCCCCCTTTCCCGTTGTTCATGTCTTTCCTCTCTGCCCCCCCCCCTGAGGGTAGCTTCAAACTGTCCAGTCTGGGTTGACCTCTTCGTCGGCCGGGCTAGGGAGGCGCGCCTGCGGCTCATCACTTAGACGGTCACGCACCCGGGGAAGGGGGGCCTCGAAAGTCGGCCAGTTTGCTGCGACATACCAAGTCACCTGCCGGCTCAACACCGGTCTCTTTTCTTTTCACTCTCCTTGCGGCTGTTGCTATCAACAGACCTAGGTGGTCATCCGTCCTCAGTACTGCCCCGTTGGTTCGTTCTTTCGGCCGGTCAAGGCTCCCCACGGCGCACACCACGGCCTGGCTGTTGACTCCTGAGTCAGAAGGCATCCAGTCTCTGTGGGATACTTGTATATAACGGACTCCTCGTTTCTCGGACAGAGATGTTCTCCTGAGTCTTACACCATCTGACTACCACTCTTCACTACCTCGACACATCTACTCGACTGATATATCAGTATAACATCGACAACACCTCTTACACCTTAGCATATCCTCAGCAACACCACCGCCAAACCCCAACACCACAACAACATCGCCATCACCACCGTCAACACCATCAAGACTATCACCACCCACTTACACCTCACCATCATCACCAACACCACCACCGCCAAAATGTGCCACTGGGAGCGCGCCACCTACGCCAACTGCGGCCACAGCGAGCTGCAGAAGATGGCCTATTCCTGCCAAAAGTACCGCCGCCACGTCTACGGCCCGTGCGTGTACAACGCCCGCTATGACTCGGGCAAAGTCGTCAACCTGTCCCCGGCGCTCGCGGGCTTCTGCAGCGAGTGCTCTCAGCTGTTTCAGTATGTTAACTACGACACGTATGAGTAACGGGTCTTGGTTAGTCAGCTGCATTGAGCAACAACAGCTTGTGTCGGATGTGAAGATAGGGGGGGGGGATGGGGAAGATAGGCGACTTTGGATTCATCGACGACATAACTCTCACGGCATACACTCTCATGGACATACGATACCCGGACATTCGGCCGTTTTGGCATGCCATTCGGTTGTAGATATTGATTCTTTCTTTTGGGTATGTGCCCCTGATTACTACTTCCTTCGTTCAACGCTAACACTCTGCAGGATACCTCCCAGCTTTCGTTTTTATCACTTTTCCTCCTTTCCTTTCTTTCTTCCCTTTCCATCACGGCGTTCTGAACACAGTCGATCATTGCGGAGGAGTATGGGTGTAACACGGAGCAGATTTCTTCAGGGGATTTGAATTTCATGTCTCGCTTCACTCTCTTTGTTTGGACAGATGGGACCTCGCAAGAGGACATACGGCGGGGGATTAGATTTTCCTGGCATCACTGCCTCGAGGGAGAAGGGGGGATTGCATTCAGATGGACATTTCCTTCCTTTCCATTAGACTTTCTTTCGTTGTACACAGTTATTTACCAATTGAGTGTTTCTTCTCGACCTTTGATCCGCCCACAGCAGAGCTTGATTACTTCGAAATTGTCTTAAATTGGGCCTACCCGTTTTACGCCTCGCTCACTTCTAGCCTCAAGCACACTTCCAAAACCCAAAGGCCTATTTCCAAGTCGTCGTGCCCAAGCCTTGTCCACCCCTGTCATCTGATGTTACGAGCCGATCTAATCCGGGAAACCCTGCCCGACCCCAATCCCGACCAGGGGTTTTATTTTTCTTCCTCACCTCAAAACTGACCCAACCCGGGTTAGGAAACCTACGTTGTGCGGCACAGCACAGCAAAACTGCAAGCACACATCTGCAAGCACTTGTTTGATCCTCCCGCTCGGCTTCGCCGCCTCGCTTCGTTTGAGAAAGAGGAACCTTAAGAGCTAAAAAAGGCAATCTTAAGTTGTGTGTGCAACTGTGCATTGCAGTTGCGTTTGCCGTTCCCGTTGCATCATCTATCATTTCGCAGCGGGGTGTCCGACCCCGGTCCCTCTTTCCGGCCCACTGCACCGATTTCGTCCGGGTCTTCCATGATGCTGTTCGGAGACCCACACCGGGGAGAAGTGGGTCACTTCGGCAATTTCGGTGGATCCGGGGGGATGGACCGGCCCGGGAGCAGGCACTGGACTGGGCCTTTGACTTACATTCTGCAACAATGTCATGACTGCACTCATTCGCGATGTCGGATTTTACCACGCCGGATTTCGCCATGCCCAGATCCAAATCCAGGGTAACACACAAATCCAGACCCCAAAACCCATAGCCGCGGACGACACGTCGTCAAGTGACGCCATGGAATACCGAAAAGGGAAAGCCCCCCAATCGAAACAACCGCGATGCGCGATGCCGTCGATGATCGGAGAAATGCTGGCGCGCCCTTCAGCCACTCGGAAAGCAGCCCCCATGGGGCTGGCAACCACACCGAACCACCAACAACACACTGCCGAAACACTGACCAGCAGCGCCTGTGCCGTGCCCAGGCCGCAGGTTGCGGGTTGCACACAGAAAACCCGGGATAAAACAAAAAGAAAAAGAAAACAAGAAGAAAAAAAAGCGGGTCAGCTGAGCGAGACCTCAAACTCTCCGAGTTGCTTCCAGCGGCTGCAGAAGGGGGAGGGGGCCGCGGATTCGTCAGTCATCACTGTGTCAATCCAACCTGTCGGTACCATTAATATTGCATTGCGGTCCGCGGGTAATGAAGCATGAAGCATCCATCCACAACAACCAAGCTGCCAACGCGCAAGGCCCAAAGGGGAATGCATGACTGTGTAACCAACCCATTTTTCGCCCACAGCCGACAGCTACCCCAAGTCCCCAACCCGCTGGGCGCTGCACTGCGCACTGCGCTGCTCTGCTGCATGAGATGCGTGCATGCTCTGGGATGATGCGGCCACTTCTTTCGGCCAGGGGTGGTCAGGCTCGGACTTGACTTTTTTTGCACGGCACACACACACACACGCTGGCGGCTGACTGGCAGATAGAGAAAAGTTGACGCGCCAAGTTCGGAAACAACTCCTTTTCATGTCCGTTTTTGTCAGACGATACAACTCTGAGCACGCTCCAACAGCAACAACCACCTGCCCCATGATCTTCAACCTACCGATACTGCGCATGCACATACATGAATACATGCGCCCGCACGCACTGTGGCTGCTGCTGTGCCAGTCTGTTTGCTTTCCCCGACCCCCTCCCCGTTTGGGACATCAAGCGCATTAACCGCAGCGTACTCAAGTAGCGTAGCCCAGCCCATCCCAGCCTTGACTTTGACCTTGTCCCGCGGAACCCAGCCCTGAGCCTGGCCCAATCCCCCGGAACCAGCCGTGTAACACAACCAACAAAGTCAACGACCGGACCGAACGCCGTTGCTCCACAAACCACAAGTCCACCTCTCAAATTCTCAATCGCGCTTTGCGCGCATATCAAACAACAACACCGCGTTTTAAGCGCCGGACCCCGAATCGGCTTGAGCCGATCACACACACCACACACACACACACACACACACACACACGCACCCAACACACACACACACACATGAACCACACATGATGAACCACACGAACCACACACCCGGATAGCAGAGATGCCGGTATTTTCCGCGTCTTTTTTTCTTCGAGGACGCTTAGATCGTACTACCTACCCTATTGACCTAAACGCTGCAGCCGAAGGGGGCTTAGGTAGGTAGAGGTAGGGTAGGTATCGGACAGGCCGAGACTGGGTTTGTTGACATTTCATTCGTCGTGTCGAGCCTTGTCTGTTTTAGTTTTCGTTCTTTTTTTCTTTTCGGGGTGTTTTAGCTATTTATCTCCGGTGTTGTCTCGGTGATAGCCTTGTTGCACCAACAGACATGGCAGGATTGGCGGAGGTACTAAGACATAGCAGGACATGTCAGGGCGTGGAAGGGGGGTGTTAGACTGGTGAGGTTGGTTGAGATATTTGGATGTGGGGATGAGGTGGAGCCTCGCGTGAGGGGGATATGGATGAGGATTACTTACTTCGGGATGTGCTTTTGGTAGGTAGTGTAAGTGGGGAGTGGTGGTGTCAAGCTACCACACACAGCCTTGTGCTACGGGGGAATTCGTTGTGTGGGTTTATAGTGGGATTCGTCCGGTTAGTAAAGCTGGTTGCTATCGACTCTGTGGATGATGATGGACGGCTCCGGGGTACAATGGGTTTGAAAAATGAGAATCTCTTTTCCCTAGATGCTGGTCCCCGGTATTCGTGATTTGTTAACTAGCCCTAATTAAACCTCTAACCCGTTTGCTTGAATTGAGGCGGATCTAGGGAAGAACTTGATACTGGGGATGCAAAAAAAGGCTTGAATAATTAGAGAGTTGGGACAACCTACGACGATGGTCTTCCATTGCAGCTGAGGTGGCAAGCCACGGATGCTATCCAGGGTCTATGATCTACAGGTGATTAGGCCGTAAGCAAGTGAGTGTTTAACGAGAAATAGCGCCAGGTTTCCCTGATCAATCTCACTGTTGTCACTGAGACGAGTCTTGAGGGTAGATGGATAAAGTTTCTGAGTTAACGAGAAAGCGAGACCTCTAGAACTCTGACCTGCAATTCTCCCCAAGTCAGCATAGGCCGTTGCCTCGGCTCACTCCTCGGTTGACGGGCCAACCCTACAGTATAGTGTTCTCACAGAGTTGTTGGAAACCTTCCTAGGGTTTGCTAGGCTGTCGTTACAAGGAATACTAGAGCTGCAACATGTCACTTGCGACTTGGTACAGGTAGCTGGGAATTTAGGGTTAGGGTTCTCTCTTCTCGTTTATTGATATTTCCAGGTAACTATTTCTATAAAGGGTTCAGGGGACTTCGTCTCTCAGTTTGATTTATTCAAGGCATTGGAGGGGGGTTAGATGGACCAGTTCATGAATGACTCTCCTCATACTACAATGCCTAACCCCAAGGTTAACCTGTCAATTTCCCTACGTTCTACTCTCAATACTTGTACAATCCTATAATTATATAATTATAACCATATGAAACGATAATTGACTGGAAAGAGGGTGTGAGTCGTAGGTGCCCAACCGTTACCCCACCCTGTGCTCGGTAGTACGTCCAATCAAGCTCCAAGATACGAGCCGTGTCTGGCTGTGCTTTGGAACCTCCGCAGGCCATCGCAGCTTCTTGTGCTTTACACCAGGTGTAGCCAAGGCCCTAACATTGCCAGCCATGGATCTCACGCCGGGATGTGGAAGCCCACCGGGGGCAGTTTCCCGTAACGCACGAGTCGCCCATCAAGAGCCATCATCTGATCAAGATCCAAAACATGGTGTTTGTCCCGGCTGCGGCAATCTCAACGCCGATTACTTTGAGCCTCCGGAAGACGAGCGGCTGGTCACCAATGCCCCTGCGGGCGCTACCCTTAGAGTTCCCGTGGTGGAATTGAGGAATGCTTCGGCGCATTGTCTCGCTTGTCGGGCTATTATCGGGCTTCTCGAGGACAACATTGAAGACTTTGACGACGAAGAGCTCGTGGTGATCAAAGCATACGAGAGAAAGCTGGTGTTTGAACTGAACCAATATGGCCGTCCAGACGGGAGGTTTGAACTGTACCGGCACAGCGAAGGCCTCATTAAAACGGCCAGTTTGAAAGCCAAGGTAGCCAAGGAGCTCTGGCCCGCCGTTGGGACGGCAAGGACTCTTGGTCCTTCCTTTTCGATTTCGGACGCGTGCTGTCTGATTGCTCCGTGGATGGACGAATGCAAATCATTCCATTGCGAATGTACTAGGGACGAGGACGAGAACCCACCCTTGCCGACGCGCCTGCTGGCAGTTGGGGATGAAAATGGAACGGCTCCGTACCTGTACGAAACACAAGCAAACGAAATAGGGCAATACGCTGCCCTTAGTCATTGCTGGGGTCCGCCCGAACACCTCCCTCCCAGAACAACCAGAGAAAACCTGGGCCTGCGAAGACTGTCGATTCCAATAGAGGAGCTTCCACCAACGTTTTCCGAGGCTGTCCAGCTCTGTCGAGGCTTGGGGATTCCTTACCTCTGGATCGACTCTCTCTGCATCATCCAAGATGATGCTGCCGATTGGGAGCGAGAAGCGGCTCGTATGCAACAAGTATACAAGAATGCGGTCCTGACCATCTCGGCCGACGGCGCCGTGAACAGCAGGGTGGGCTTATTCAAGCCGGTACGTGACCGCAGGCTTCCTCGGTCCGTCACCACGTGCTGTCCCGTCGTCGCCGTCGCCGAAAGCGAGGGCGCTGCTACTACCGAGCGGTCCGAGCCAGAACGTCTTTGTGGTCGAAGAACCGACTTGTATGTGGGCCTCGAGCACGGTGTGTTTGGGGTGCATACTGTGGGCTCGTCGTCGTCGGGAGACGGCGAGCCGCTAAGCCGGCGTGGGTGGGCGTTGCAAGAGTGGATTCTTTCGCGGCGCATCGCCCATTTTACCACGGGCGAGCTCCTCTGGGATTGTCTAGGGGCCGAAGGATGTGAATGCCAGACCCAGTTAACTTCGCGAACATCGACGTCCGACATACGGCGCCAAGCGTTGCCTGAGGGCCACGGCTATTGGGGCACAATCGACAATGCAGAGTACTGGGGGACAATGGTTCGCAACTTTACAGCTCGGAACCTCACTTACGACTCTGACAGACTTCCCGCTCTCTCTGGTGTAGCAAAATCCTCTGCTGGCGAAAGGCTCCCCAATGATCGCTACCTGGCGGGCCTCTGGAAATCTGAGCTACCATCCTCCTTGCTCTGGGAAAGAACATCAAGCGCGGTCGACGAGTTGGCGTCGAATATTATCACGCACCGGCGGATTGCAGGCTATCACGCGCCGTCTTGGTCATGGGCTTCGATTGTTGGGCCGGTGCGTTTCCCGAAAGTCGACGGTCGGGGGGTTGAGTTGTGCCAAATATTGCGCATTTGGTACAAATTGGCGGGCAGCAACCCGTACGGACCCTTTTCTGCTGGTCTCCTCATCGTGCAGGGCCCCGTGGCCAAGATTCCAGCCTGCATACCAACAGACCTACATGTAAACTACATCGAGGATATCTCGCTGCAGCCGGGCCCTTTCACGGACCTTTACGAAGACATAGTGTTTTTGGGAGTCAGGGGTTTCTGGGATCCCCGCAGGCGCCTATGCAAGTGGGAAGGACTCGCCCTCCAGGCTGTTGGAGATTCCCAAGATCGGTTTACTCGAATAGGGGTCTTGTCCCTGACGCATGAGGTCCCATTGCGCAACACTGGCTCAGAGGAAGTGTCATATGAAATGCTGAGGGCTGCTATTGGTGCAGAAATCAAGATGATCACCATCGTCTAGTCAGATAGGACCCTCATCAGTGTGCATTCCCCACGACGAGCGGCTTCCGAGACTCTTGGTTAAGGGGAAGGTCATCAGAGTGGCCATGTGGACTTGGTCATGGATTCGGTAGTACGACGTAGACCTACATAGTGTTTCATGAGAGTATCACATTGTTAAAAGGTTGATGTCTTAAGTGACATTGAGGTGCGCACTTATAACACAGAGATAGAGTCAAAATAGTTACTTGGAGAAATAAATAAGCCGAGGGTATATACAATCCCGTGCCGTCTACAGCACAACGCCAACCTCTATCCAGGTATGCTCCGTGTATCCATCTGGTATCCATGTATCCATGTATCCATGTATCTCTGCGTGGTATATGCAAAAATCAGTCCACCCGCTCCCCCCTGAGATCTCCCCCCCTCCGCATCAAACTCAACCGCTCAACATCCTCGACCAACTCCGTCTCAACCACACTCTTCCTGTCCCGTCCACCCAGCCTGACCCCCGCACATCGCGCAACAAACTCACACAGCATCACCTCCGCCTCCTCCGCATTCTTGCTCAGCGTGTGGTTATCCCCCTCAAACACGCGCAGCAGCACATCCCCCAGGCCATCCTGCGCCGATTCTTTTCCTTTCTTGCTCTTGTCACTGGCATTATGATCACTCGCAGCCTGTTCCGCAGCAGCCCGATACACATCCAGCACCTTCCTCGAACACCCAACACCAACAGTGCCGTCCTCACTCCCATGCAGCAACAACACCGGCCGGCCTTCCCTTCCCATATGCCGCACCCCTTCCATCGCGTCCACACCCCTATCACCCGTCTGCTCCAACCCCCGTCCCGCCATCGTCGCACACCCCACTACTTCCGCTCCTCCCAACCCTTCCTTCCCACTCAGAGAAGAGCTAACATTCGACGAACCCAAAGAACTAACCCCAAAAACAACCTCCCCCCCCACCGACCACCCCACAAGCACCACCCTCCTAACCCCATACTTCCTCCCCAAAAACCCCACCGCAGCCCTCACATCCCTCACACACCCCCTCGTATCCCCCGGATCCCTATAATCCATTCGTAGCGTCGGAATCCCCTGTGCCTTTCCATGTCCGAGGGCGGCTAATTTACACGCCAACCCGAGATAGATGGAACTAGGCCCTGCTAGACCGCCGCCGGCGCCGGAGAGGAGGAGGGCGGCGGTGCGGTTGGTGTGGGGGGAGTTGGGGTGGATGTTGTGGGTTGAGGAGGGGGGGGTCTGAGGAGGGGGACGGCGGAAGTCGTGTGGGAGGTGCAGGAAGGCGGGGAGGAAGCCGCCTTTGTCGAGGTTGGCGTTTTCTTGGGGGTTGGTATTATTGGGGGAGAGGGTTTCGGGGGGGACCTCGATGGTTAGGGGGTCGACGTGGCTGATGGAGGGGGTGTCGAAGATGTCTTCGAGGCGGTTGAGTTGGGGGGGGAGGGCTAGAGGGGCGTAGGACTGTAGGGTGTGTGGCCCTGGGCGGGAGGATGTTGCTGCCATTTTGTTGTGTTTTTCCTGATTCTTCTGGTGAGGATTTACTATTTTTCAGGATTTTGTTGTGCTCCAAGACTGTTTTCGAATCCCCAGACTTTTCTTGTGTTGATTGTTGTCACGGGAAAGCGAGACCCTGAAATATCTCCGAGTACGCTAGTAGCAGCAGCAGCAGAAAGACCCTGAAGATAAATATTTCTAAATATCCCTCGGAGGTTCGGCTGCCCGGATATGATGTCACTGTGGACGCAGCGTCGTCATAGTCTCCATTCGAAACATCGTGGGGCCGCAAATTAGGGGACTCGAGTCTCCAGTTTCCAGGCACTCCAGGCACCTCAAAACCTATCGAGCCTTGCCAGCTCCGATTCTATCCGCCAGCGCACTGATATGGTGGATCACGGAATCCACATATCTCGCCGTGTATGGGTCGTGTATGGGTCGTGTATGGTGGGCCGAGTGGGTTTTGCGGCGTGCACGAGTCAGGAACGTGCCGTGCAAGCCGTGTTTCGTGAGAGCGGGCATGAAGAGTGCCGTTGAAACATTCGGTCTGACAAAATCAGAGTTGTTGATCAGGGGGATCAGGGGCTGTAGATCAGTGATTGGCATTGCTTGATTCAAGCGATTTACACGTAGCATTCACATGTAACTGCCGAGACGGTACATACACGATGGCTGTACGGCAAGTGCACTAGCAGTCGGACGGCCGCGGCCCGGGAATAAATACCGAATACCGATACTTACAAACCCACTGAAAACCCACAATACCCACACCACCAAAAAAAGTTGCGAGTGAGAAACCAGTCTCGGTAGTGTCCCGTGTGTCCCTCGAGAAATACCTCGCAAAGCACACAAACAACCTCCAGAAACAAAAAATCAAGCCACAACCGCCCCCCGAACAGCCGAAACCGATATCCGCCCCAGCTGCCCCGCCGCATCACACTCCCGCACCCGCGAAGCCTGATAAGCCAGGTCCTGTACATCTTCATCCTGCTCATCCTGTCTATCCTGTCCATCCCGCCTATCACGCCTATCCCGCGCATCACTATGCACTCGCTCATTATGCGCTCGCACCCGCCTCGGAAATAGTCGTTGTGGCTGTTGCTCGGCCCGTGTCACCAATGTACACCGCCTCTCCAGCTCTTCCAGCACCAGCACGACAAACTCGCCAAAGGGCCCGTCGGCCATGGCGGCAAACTTGCGTCGGGCTGTGAGGCGGTTGGGGGAGAAGTGGGCTGTTCCGGGGTCTGCGTCTGCGTCTTCGTCTGCATGTGTATGGGTATGGGTATGGGTATGGGTATCACTCATGCCTTGATGATGTTGATGTTGATGCCCGTCTTCTCTCCTGACAGTCCGCCCCACTGACCTCGCCCGTCCTTGTTGCCCTTGCTGCTGTACGCCCAGCTGTCCCAGCTGTCCTCCCAGTTGTTGTCCCCGATTCTGATTCTGATTCTGATTCAGCCCCACCGGCCCCTCCCGATCCGCCACATTCCTCCTAACCAACTCATCATACACATCCGTGCACATCTCCCTCCACGCCCTGGCTCCTAGCCCTTGCATCGCCTGTCTTCCTGCGCGGGCAGCCATCCATTCTACTCCTCCTCCTCCTCCTCCTCCTCCTCCTAGCGCTCTTACTCTCCTTGTGGGTACAGTTGTGACTGTGTCGGTTGATAGACGGGAGAGGGTCGAGGTGAATGAGAAGCGGCGGTCCCGGTTGGCTGTCTCACCGTCCGTGCCGTCCTCGTCATCGTCGTCGATAGAAAGGGGGTTAAAACCAGGATTTGGATTATCATCCTCACGCGGGATAGTCGACATCCGGTAGGTCCGATACAACGCCGTATACCGATACGACACGCGAAGAGCCCGCCGGAAGAAGGAAAGCACGATGGTGTCGGTGATTTCGGGCAGGTGGAAGATGGTGTCGGCTGATATGGGGTGTGGTTGGACGGGCGGTGTAATAGTAGGAGTGGTCGGACTGGTAGTAGTCGGACTGGTACTACTATCTGCCGTGACTGGTCTCTGCCGCTGCCGTGGGTGATGATCTTGCGGTAGGGCTAAGAAGTCCACGCCTGACGGGGATACCGCCACGACGCGGAGGGCACCGCCGAGCATGGGCCGCCGGCGGTTTGGGATGAACGCCGGTGTGGGGGGGCTCGCGACTGGTGACCGGGTGGACGTTTCGTAGGTTCCGTTCCCAGGTGTATTCGTGCTTCTCGACGTAGCAATAGGCACCATGATCATACTCGGATCTCCCGCAGCCAGTGTGCCTTCGTACGCATCCCCTTGCGTGGTCCCTTGCGGTGTCCCTTGCGGGGTGATCCCCTCCCACGACGGGTTAAACACGCTCGACGTCGGCGTGAGCATGTCATACTCTGACTCCGAGTACTGACTCTGCCTCTCCTCTACCGGCGTAACCATCACGCCTTCGCCCTCTTCATCGTCCGCAGCGACACTCTTCGGGCGAAACACAAGCGAGTACGTGCCCGACACCGACAGCGGCGTGTCAACCGAAAATCCGTCAGCGAAGGAGTCCGGCCGGATGTTGTGCAGACGGCTGAGACGGAGACGGCTGCGTGTGTCTGGGTGCAAGCGCACGACGGCGCGGGCGAGGTCGTTGTCGTTGCCGAGGATGGCCGCGACGGCGGTTTGGAGGGTTGTTTGGCTTGTTTCGACGTCCGTGGGGGAGGGGCTGGTTGTAGTTAGTATCAAAAAAAAA